AAACTTTCTTAAAGTGTTTTATGATTTGATGTGCACTACTGCTTCGATTTATAAAAAATCGCAAATGGAAATCTAATTAGTTCTATTTTGAGTTGGTCTAAATTGAAGACGAGGAGTAATTTGAATTTATCAATCGTACGATTAATAAAAAACCAATGTTATTTTCATTTTTTGTATTCTACTCCCTTCATTAAAGTATGACAAACCTTATTCCTTCCTATTATAATGCCACTCGAGAATAAAAAATTAGCAAATGAATACGATAATCACATTGAGTGCTAATAAAATAAAACTTCAAAATTTAGTTTAATTTATTATTAATTATTTTTAAGAAAAAGGGGGCAAATTGATCACAACAAAAAAACGGTGGGGGGGGGGGCAAATATGAAAATATAGATTTACCATTTGTGGTTTGTTTTAAACTAAAGTTACTGTACATAATCATTTTAACTACTTTTCATATAATTTTTTATTTACTTTATTAATGAAATATAATTTAAATTACATTCATCCATAAATCAAAAGAATCAATTTCAATCAATTCAGCCACTTCTATCAGATTTCATCGATTTGTCTCTCATATGTAGTGCTTTCAAGTATCATACTACGGAGTAGAAGATAAACTTGCTAACAAATACGCACATAGAATAGATATGTGCGTATATGTATAAAATTTATAGATTTAATATATACATCTATGATCTATATATACATGTATGTATATCAGTATATGTAAATCTCTTTTGAAAAACATAACGTTTATATTTAGTTTTAGAGAAGAAAAAATGAACAAGAAGAGAATGAGTATCTTGGTAGAGATTAGAAAGAGAAATAAACAAATAAAGAAAGAAGAAAGGGGAAGGAAATGAAAAACAAATACTACGACCTCCGTAGTCCATACTACCTAAGGACGAAAGAAAGAAGCAGGATAGAAGTAATGAGGAAGACGGTCAAAGCAAGACACGCAAACAAGAAAGAAAGAGAAAACGTAAAGGAAAAGGTAGATTCTATGGTACCCATAAGGTACCATACCTTTGTCCGCATGGACCAATAAGAATGTAGCAGTTGAATTATTTAAATCTAAATTAAAAATGATAAAGTAATGTGGTCCAATCAAATGAATGGTAGGTACGATACCCCATATTTTAGAAAGGTACCGGAGTTGTCACCAAAGGAAAAAGTAAATAAAAAAGGAATAAGAAGTCCACGTGTCAAACAACCTGCTGCAGGGAGTTACCATTCGGTAAAATGACCAATATGACTCTTTTTTAATAGTAAGTATACTTATCTGATACTTTTTTTAGTAGATGGGCTTAAGTGATCTTTTTGGTATAGTAGAAGGGTCTATTTGACCCTTTTTCCTAAATATATTCTCATAGTTTTTCAAAAAATAAATATATTCTCATATTCTTACTTTCTTTATTACCTACTTTTCATTCTCTGTATATTTTTCATTACATCTAATCTACTTTTTGTATGCATATATAATGGTAAAGTCAAAAGTAAAGATTTCACGTTTTTAGAGGATGGGACACCCATAAAAGTATTGATCATTCAAAAGTGTCAAAAGAAATTCTTCCGTATAATATATGGTGAATTGAATAATGAATAGTTGTTTTATTCGTGTCTGATCAATCATAAATTTAACACGATGTTCTCTTTATTTAAGTCTTTAATAATCATAAATGATATATTAACACAGCACCATGTATACAAGTAATATGCACCAGCAAGCTCTATACTAGTAATATGCACCAGTATACTAGGTTTGGAGAATCAATCCCTACCTCAAAAGTAAGTGCACATACTTGGGATATTTACCCTTGTGCTAATAGTAAATGCAAGAAATTGCCATTTGTGATAGAATGGCAACTGGAGCTATGCCGGTTTCATTTCCAGCACTCAAAGGCAGGGAATCTGGATGGGAGTTTGGTATAAATGTGGATTTCTTGAGAGTGTTTGTGATTAAGAATTCCAATTTTTGGCCTGATACAGTTGATCTTCAACCCAAATGAGTAGGGATTCCACTTCTAGGTGTTCTCTATCACTCTAATTCCTTAGTAATTTTCAGAAGTATATAGCTTTATGAATTTGAATATCTCTGTGTCCAGAAGGGTATAAACTAATATTTTACCAAGAGGTGGTCATACCAAATCCAATAGGGTCTGTTGGGATGTGTGTTTGAATATGAAGGCTAAATCCAACAGGGTCTGTTGGGATGCGTGTTTGAATATGAAGGCTATGGATGGCTTAGTCTACATCATGATCATATTTGTAATTAATACTAATAAAATGAAAGATCAACAGAATTATGTGATCCAATAACATTTGAATAATTTATAGCAGTAGTATATCAGTTCACTTGATGGTATAAAAGTCCCACTTTATGGCAACAATATACAAGTAATATGCACCAACAACTTTTTTCACTCTATAGCAGTATAAAAGTCCCAAAAATATGCATCAGCTTTACGTTGGAAAGTAAAGGATCAAAAGCAATGGCACACCATATTTTTGTTGAATCTGACGATAAGCTGAACGAAAAATAAACCATCACACAACTTCATCTAATGGGACAAACCTTAAATGGTTTAATGCAGCAATTCCTTGTGTAAATACAAATGCCAAATATGTCATTACTCCGTATCTGGGACATCTAAAATCTAAAACAGCATCAAAGAAGGCCATGAAATGTATATGAGCAAAACAACAAAGACTTTACTGGAACCAAACACCTCAAATTTCTATCTTCCCTCACTGTTTTAAACATTTTTTTTATCAAAATTTATTCTGGGAGGGAACCTAATAGAGCATAAACTATATGCACCAGTATGCACTTCAAATTTGGGAAGACCAATATATTAACCAATATAAAAAAAAATACATTCATAACTCCACCAATACTGAAACACATATTGGTAAGTCTAGATCAACATACTATACATACTACAGAGTACTAAACCAACTACAACAATATTCATTTGAAGAACAAATATACAACCAGAAAAAAAGACATGACAACATTAGACAAATGCGATATTTTTTCTCATTCCCTAAACACTTGAATATTCAATCCACATTTCTTCAGCTTCAATTTTCTTCAGTTCGACTTCTTCTTTCAAATTTTTATTTTTAACTTGCAACTTCTTCAACTTTTCATCCAGCAACCTATTATGAAATTCTAGCTCAATTTGGATTTGTGGATTCAGAACTTTATTGTCCTCTTCATCTAATTCAACAGATGGTTTTGCCTCAATTTCATCTTCTCACTTGAGGAAATTGCAACCTTCATCCTTACACACATACAAAATCCTCAAATAAAACTTCCAGCCCAAGATTTGATCTTGACAAAACACACTTCGTAACATCAATCAAATAATAAGATGATAGCTATGGCTTTCTCTATTCCGCTATTCTTGACTGGCTATTAAATTGTATGAACCCTAGCTCCTTCTACCATGTTTCTAATAACAGAATATAAAAAATTAACACATTTACCGGTCATAACGAGCAGCCAAGAAACTTCCTCCCAGCGTTAATCCCATTTTTAGCAACCCTCAAAACGGAATTGATATTGTGATGACACTCCGCTCTTGGATTTACTCCTTTGCTTGATTTCGTCGAGCAAGACCAATGACCGTCTGAATGGATGTCTTGGGCAGACATCGATCGATAGCGTGAAAAGGGAATTTGAAATGAGGAAGAAGAAGTTAGATATGTTGCCGCAAATATGAGGAAGTGCGAAGGAGAAGTTGGAAGATGGCGTCAAAGGGTATTTAAAATCTTAACCGGTATTATTTTTTAATAAAAACTTAACAACCGGCAAAAAATATACCGGGACTGTTGACGGAAGAAATGATATAAAGGTTGGTTTTTTTTTGGATTATTAATTAATAATTAGGATCGTTTTGGGAAGACCGGATAAAGGTTGGATTATTGGTGTCAAATTTTCCTATTTTTTTATTTATATTTTTAAGATTTTGTAATTGATATTATCTATACGGAGTATTATATATATGTGTTGACCGGGTTTTCCGATCGTTGACCGGGCTGCCCCGCCGGGTCCGGGTTGACCCTTGACCCGGTCATCGCTCCGGGTCGCTCTCCGGTCCGGTTTTTACGATATAAGAGAAAAGAAGCAAAGATTATTACATGAATAAGCACTTGTGAAAATGTATTGATAGTAAAAAGGGAATTTGACTCTATGATAGTAGTATGTTAGATTGCCTTTCAAATTTCAAAGATGACAATTTCACTAATGATTTTGTACACAATAGTGATAAACAAAAATAAAGGGCAATCTTTTTCTATTGTTGATTTGTTTGTGCGGAAACTTTCTTTAATCTCATACTATCTATGTGATAAAAATGATTGAAACACTAATGTAACAACAAATATGAATATCAAGGTGTTTTTTCAAAATTTGTAAACATTTGTTTCTTATGCTTTAATTGTGCACCTTCCCACTAAATATTTATTTTTTCCTTTAATTAAATTTCCTAAAAACTAATGTTTATAATCCCTATAATAATAACATGTTTCTCGTGCATCGCACGGGTACAATACTAGTTTATAATGAAAGTAGTCAAGTTGTCAAAAAAAACAAGTAGTCAAGTTACTCAAGTATACTTTGAAGTTTGAACCATATACTCCCTCTGTCATGTTATTACTAATTAAGTTCTTACTTTCCTTTTTGGGATGATCCATATTAAAGTTCCTACTTCAAACCTTTCCTTATTTGACAAATGATTTACACCAAAATAGTGCCAACCGATGTCAAACAGTGTCAAACAGTGTTTAAACAGTGTCAAACAACGTCAAACAGTGCCAAACAATGTTTAAACAGTGTCAAAAAAGTGTTCAAACAGTGCACTCCATAGTAAAATAAATTTATTTATTAATATGTGTAAAGTCAAACTAGGAACTTAATTAAGAATCGGAAGGAAGGAGTACATTCTATTAACATTGAATATACTGAGACGATTAGATCCAAATTTGATCTTGAAAGGGCATTTGCAAATGGCGGGTATCTCTTTCAACAGCCGTATGTTTGGCATTTCTTGTGGGACCCTTATCTTACATAGATCCGCTTAAATGCATGTTCACTGAAAGTCAAGCAGTTTGTCTGGTGGCCATCAATTCTGCGACACATTCACTATCAGTTTACAGCTCCCAGTCACACTACTCGTCCAAGCATTCCTCCTCTCCTGTCTCTGATCTTCACCCCTGTATCGGTCTTTCTCAGCCCTCAGCTGTTAGCCGACAAGGTATGATCCTATCCGTAATTTCTAGCTGAAATTTTAACATCCTGATTCATAGAGCTTTCAATCCTAACTTTTTGTTGTCCATTCATGACCGACCATGTTCTTGAAGTTTTTTTCACCATGTAGCAGCTAAAAGCAAAACTTTTTAATATTGTGTGTCCATGTTCTGATGTTCTTGGATTTTCCTTCAATTTTCACTTTCAATCTTAGGTTCAGTTATGTATGTGCAAACCCAAAATCCCAACCCAAAATCACTTTCAATCTTGTTTTTTTTTCAAAATCCCAACCCACGTTGGCTGACTCTAACCCCACCCTAACGGACGGGCAGCATCTTTGAGTGTCAGAAGTTTATTTTGCTGCTTATTCTTATTTTGTCAGCCTTGTCCACCAGTTCCAGTTAATTCAATGTGTTTAAGCTGTTGCAGACGAGTAGGAGGTGTCCAGCATGCACTCCATGTTGGTGATGGTGACGTTGCCATTTAAAGTGCTGGAAGAGGCAAACTCGGGTTCCGATTCCAACCCGACTGATGCAGTCATCTTCGTGGGTATCAGCTTGGTGTTAGGGATAGCTTGCAGGCATCTGCTGAGGGGTTCCAGAGTGCCTTACACGGTTGCTTTGCTAGTCGTTGGCATTGGTCTCGGAGCCTTGGGTTAGTTGCTTTTCTCAATGTTACGTAAACGACTTTGCTCTGTAGTTTTACGGTTTTAGTGTGCTAAATGGCCAAATATAAAGATACTAATCAAATACGAGTATAAAATAGAAGCGTAAATGATGCCAGCCTTAACATATAACATGTTTTCAGTGCCAATTCAAACCAGTAATTGATCCTCTAACTAAGACTAAAAAGGCATGCACGTTTCAAGATTGATTTGCTCCTTCAAGAATGGAACTCCAAATCTTAAAGCACATCTTAAAGCACAGGAATTTCAAGATTCTTTTGCTCCTCTCAGCTTAATGGAATTCCAATTCTTAATGTAATGAACTAGAAATAAATGATTTTTATGAGAAGTAAAATGTGAATCGAAGGCGCTGCATAAATAATGATTCCTAGAAGAAGAAAGCAAGCATCTGAGTTGCATCCCTATTTTTGGTGTTTAGTTTTATACGCTTTATGCTTGTCATGAACTGGTAACAATTTTGAAGTCTATGAAATGGATCACCTTAAAATTGCTTCTGCCACTCAGTTATGGGCTTCAGAGTTCACAACTATACTTTACGTGTGTAGTTTTCAGTTGATGTGCTGAAGCAAGATCAGGGGAAAGTTGGAATCTAAATTGGGTTTTCATGAATTAGATCATTTTGGGCTCTGTATTTCTAACCTTGAGTGGAAATGCACTTGGTTTGTGGACATAATTTTGGCTTAGATCACACGCGTGTATGAAAGTATACTTCTAAAAGATTTGGTTGTATTGCTCTTAACTATATTCTTCTACTTAAATTCTGTACTCACTGGTTTCTACCATGGCATAGATTATGGAAAGCATAATCAGCTTGGAAAGATTGGGAATGGGATTCGTATCTGTAAGTGCAACTTATTGCTGCTCTAGTTGAAGCCAATTTTCTTATGGCGCAATCTATTCTCTGCCCATGTTGCAGTTTCCCATTGTTATTAACAATTGTTGGTCCACAGGGGCAAATATTGATCCTGACCTTTTATTGGCTGTTTTTCTTCCTGCACTTCTCTTCGAGAGTTCATTCTCAATGGAAGTGCATCAGATAAAGGTACTAGAAACTCATTCTTTGTGGTGTCATTCAATAGTTTTTTTAAAACCCAAGTCACTTTCGGGCTTTGGTGGAAACATCATGCAAAAGCTTGAGGCATGCACTTTTGAATCACCAGGTAGATTTTTTCTTTGAATTTGTCAGAGACTAGGGAGACTCAATTCATTAGCCCTTGGTTTTAATCATAAGTACGTCTTCGATGGCATTCAACATTTCATCTGCAACAAAGTAGAGCCTTGTTAGGGACCTACTTATAATACTAATAAATGAGAATAAGAATAATATTAGAGAGTTAGTATAAATAGTGGTGGAGGGTAGAATAGAAGGCAGGCTGTATTGACGTTTTGTCTGGGATTGGGAAGTTGGAGTTCTATCTCCTTCTTTGGGACTGTTTTCAGTTTTCTTGTTGAATAAGATTTCCTTTACTGAGCTTGAGTTCTTGCTTTGTGTGATTCTATCTTGTTATTGTTATTGTGTTTGTTCTGCTGCTGAGAGGTATCCATCATTGGTATCAGAGCACTCACTTCTTGGAGGCAAATGATCTGAATCGATCGAGAATATTAACTTAGCAATGGAAGAATTCTGTACACCAGAAATGGAGAAGAGAATGGATTTGCTGGAGAGGGAGCAGACATCGATGATGAAGAAATTAACAGATATGAGAAAGATGGCGGAAAAGATGACCAGACAGCTAGAAGCTATGAACGAATTTCAGGCGAGAAGGCGTTCGCGTTCGTCAACAACGTCCTTAAGTTCGCAGATGCGAACTAATTCTTCCAGAGTATCGCTAAGTGCGCAGACCGTGTCGCAATCACGAACAGTTTTGCCTAGTTCGCAGACCTCGTCTAGTGCGCAGGTTTCTTCTCACACGCAAAAAAAAACCTTCGACTTCTCTGGCTTTGTCAAGAACTGTTTCTTATCTCCGATCGTCACCGCGAGCCGTTTCTCACAGTCGTTCACAGAGGTCATCGCAAACGGCTTCATCTTCATCTCGAACAACAGCTTCCAGTTCCTTGGTTTCTTCTCAGTCGCGAACAACTCCTCATAAGTCGTTGCCAGATGCTAGACCGCAGACTTCTGCTTTGGCCTATCCTCACAGTTCGCAGACTTCCTCTCTATCTGTTGTTCTGAATTCTCAGGATGAGACACAATCAGCTTCTCTCAGTACACCAGCATCTTTTCAAATTGCTTCTCGCAGTCCAAAATTTCTATCGCTCGGCCTGGAGCTGGCTAGCTGGCAGCAACCTCACTCAGAAGATACTCTCATCTATGGTGACGAAGGAGGAGAGGAGAAATTTTCTGTCGTGACTCAATCCTCAACTGCCATGGAAAATGAATACGGTGATGATAATTATAAAGTGGAGAATAAGGTTGTTCCGGAAATCTCTCTAGGTGGTGAATATTCAGCGGCACCGAATAGTATGGGAAAGCTGGTTGGAAATATAGGAGTGGAACACTGCCTGCTTGAAAGAATTGTTAATGCTTCTATCTCCTCAATGGGGCTAATAAAGTTGGGGGCAGATCAGGACAGGGAAGCAAAGAGGTTTCAGGAATCCTTCTGTAATGGACTGTTTGGAAAACAGTTTACACGCGCATCAGGCCATAGTAATGAATGGGTGTACATTGATTGGAATGGAATTCATCCCTCTATTTCTGCTGTGGAATATGAGCTTAAAAATGCTGGGCTTAATGATGAGTTGTCTGAAGCTAACAGGTGGAATGGATTTCTCCATAGAAATGATTTGGATGCAATAGGTACTGATGATATAGAGCTGATCCACAGAGCCAATATATCAGCTGATAGAAATAGTGTGAGGGGTATGGTTGTGGTTGTTATCCGATCAGGAAGAGTCTGTTCTAAATTGGAAGCTGTTCTGGGTTCATCCTCTCGAATCCCATTCGAAGGAAGCACTGAAGAGGCCCCATCTACATATTCATCTGATGATGACTACTTCCAGAAACAGAACCTTCTTAAGTGGCCTGGCAGTCCCACTTTTGGTGCTAAAAAGGGAAAAGTTTGTGATAGTATAAGCACTGTGTGTGGTAATATACCTCAAAAGAATCCCAGCAATATCCAGCAGCATAGAAGATGGATTATATACATGGTAAAGGGTGTCCAGTGGACTAGCATTCAGTTTAGAAACACAGCAATTGGGATAGTTTTCAATGACTCTATTGATCCGGGGAAATACACGACAGATGCTGCACTTTCAAGGAGTGAAGCAACTGAAACTCAAGGTTTTGAGTTATATCCTGTAGCAAGAGATATTAGCAAATGGAAGAGTGAGCAATGGATGATGGGTGAAGATCAGTACCAGCATGAACAAAGACACATGTATAATGTTGATGCTTGGAAGGAAGAGGAGCTAATGCTGTTTTTGCTAGAAGCAGTGAGAAGGAAGATTCAAGTCATAAAGTTCAGGATCCTGAAATTTGGGCGATATTGGGAAGGAAGAGGCGCAAAGATGAGGAAGAAGCGGTTCATCAAGACTGTCCCCTATAACCCACCTTGAGGACAAGGTGGTTTTCAAAGGGGGAGTATTGTTAGGGACCTACTTATAATACTAATAAATGAGAATAAGAATAATATTAGAGAGTTGGTATAAATAGTGGTGGAGGGTAGAATAAAAGGCAGGCTGTATTGACGTTTTGTCTGGGATTGGGAAGTTGGAGTTCTATCTCCTTCTTTGGGACTGTTTACAGTTTTCTTGTTGAATAAGATTTCCTTTACTGAGCTTGAGTTCTTGCTTTGTGTGATTCTATCTTGTTATTGTTATTGTGTTTGTTCTGCTGCTGAGAGGTATCCATCAAGCCTATGCGTGTCATTTGTTTATATGGACAATTGCAAAGCAAGCTTTAGAAATGCAAAACGTCTAAGAAAGTTTAGGTAAAAGACACGCACAATAAACTATGTAGTGATTATATGGTTCAGCTTCTTTTTTGAGTGGTTTTCAACTCCTTGCCTAATGAACCATAGTCAACCACAGGACCATTCTTAGTAATTCTTGAATAGTTGAAAATAATTAAGTTTTCAATTGTATAACTTTTCATGGCAAGTTTGAAACATAAACAGTAGAAGCATGTTGGGCAGAAGTCGGCTATCCATCTGGACATAATTAGACACCTGCTGAGCATGGGCTCTCATACAGTCAAACTAGTAATAGTTAGAAGTTCACAATGAATTAAATTGGTAGTTAGAAGTTCGCAATGAATTAAGTTGGTACTACCGATTAAGTGGTTGTATATGAGCCACCTTCTTTATTTTTTGTGGGATAATTTTTGGCATTCCCTGTAGTCCTGTACTTTTCTTTGAGCCTTTCTCTGTCCATATGCTTGGCTCTTTCAACATTAATTGTCCTTGTAACAAATTTATTGAAATAGCACAACGGAAGATGTAGTGGACTACTAGCTGTACTGTAATTCTATAAAATTGCAAAATACATTTACACAATTTATCTTTGACAATGTTTCATATCGTGTACCTGTTGATATACTTAGGACGAATATCAGATACGTAATTGGTCAACATAACCAGTAGCAGAAGAGCCTAAAGGATGTAAATGAGTATTTGTTGTGAAAGATATTGATGACGTGCCCATTAGGGACATAGGACATAGGGAGGCCTGTGAATAATTTAGGGACCGCATTATCAAAGCAATGAACATTACATGGGTTGATTATTTGTGTAACAAGTTGGCCAGAATCAATATCCATGTTTGACGTGCACTTGTCGTGAGGTGCACTCAAAATAAATAATACAATACAACACTTATACGTAGTATAGCGTAGTAAGGTTCGTATCCGCAGGGAAAGGAATACTTCTCTTTTTATAACTAGTAATAAAGGGGGGTTTTAGATTTGTTGTTGAAGAACTTTTTAGAATATTAAAACACAAAGATGAACGAGTTATGTGGTTTAATTAATGAGAAGAAGACTTGGTTTTGCTTTTATCCACTTAATGAAATATTCATCGATCCCGGTTATATCTTTAACTATCTTCCTCTCGAATACTCAATCGAGGAGTATATCCAGTTCATCGAGGGTAGTTATTAATAACGAGAAGCGTTCATTAATAAAACTTACTACCGAGTCAATATAGAACAAACGCCGTATATTAACTTGATAGTAGCAATAAAATCAAGATGAAAACGATTGAGATTGATAACCTCAACACAAGCGGTTTATTGGTTTAATCAATATAATTAATTCCCCTTGGCTTATTAATCATGAGAAGCATGCATAAATAACCCAAGTTTACTACCGTGAAAGGACCGGATTAATAACAAGCGTATTAACCGACCGATTCTAGTAGTAATTAATATATAGAACAAGACTAGTTGATACTTTAAGTAATGCTCAATATATTAATATGGAATAAGAATAGGAAGTAATTAATATTCAAGGAAGAAGATTAAAGAAAATAACTCACAACTTACAAATCATTAAGCTTCAAAGTAGCAAAACCAAGATGGAAGAGTTTAGCTCCTCATTTGGAGACTAAACATGATGAAAAGTATAAAGAAAGAACTTGTCTAAACTGAGCTAAGAAGTATATGTGAATTGGTATCCTATTGTGAAGGAAAGGGAGTGTATTTATAGGCTTTTTGGGAGTGCAGCTCGGGTACTCGATCGAGTATATACAGATACTCGATCGAGTATGTGTAGAAACTCGAATTCGATCCATACTCGATCGAAATTAGAGTAAAATTTATAGCCATACCCGTTCGAGTATGTCGGTGTACCCGATCGGGTATAGACACTCGATCGTGATCAAAATCTTCCCTGCATGTTCCTTTGTTTTCGGATCCGATCCGATTTGAAATTTCAACAACATACCCGATCGAGTATATACAGATACTCGATCGAGTATAGACCAAAAATCAGGATCTTCCCTTTTGTCTTGTGATTTTGCACCTTCCTTCCACTTTTGGGGTTCACCAACCGTCCTTTGAGTGATAGTAGACCTGTTTGAGCTCAGAATAAACCTAATCTAAACAATTTACAAGAATTTAACAAACTAAACTATTACACCAAAAGTGTGTAATTTCCGAAATATTAAACAACCAAAACTAGCTAAAAACATAAACATACACATGGAAATTACAAGTGTATCAATGTTCCAACTTGATGGAGATTTTTATGTATGGCAAATAGCCTTGTTATATGGATTGGATAAGCAAGTTCGTAAGGTTTGATTTTATTGTGGTTCCTTTTTTAGACTCTACACAGTACACACATGTATTTATTTTTATGTATTCTTTGTCACCAGTATGAAGTCATAGTATTTATTTCTTTTATCAAGTATCAACCAAACCAAACAAACTTAGTATATCCCACTTGGAAGTAGGGTTGTAGGGAGGGTGAGATATATGCAGATCTCACCTCTATCCCTGGAGGTGGAGAGGCTGTTTCCGGTGAAGACTTTCGGCAAGCATAAAAAACAACGCTTTCCTTTATAGTTTGTGTGATCATTATTTCATTTTCAGAACTTATCTTGCCCATAGTCATATTCATTACGTTAAGGTTGCATTCTCCTAGACTGTGCCTCTTACCTATAAAACCAAGCATTCCAGCCCATCTGGTTGTGAGGTTACCGTGCCTGGTGAAAGGTCTCGAGTTCGAAACCTGCTAGGCACATAAGGGTTCGAAACTCAATGGAGTGAGTTTCTACCCTGATTACTCCAGGCCCCCCAGACCCCCTTGGAGTAATAAAAAAACCTATAATGCAACAGAGAAATTTTTCCTCACATTGAAGAAGAGGTGACAACGTTCGATTTTCATTGTGGAGACAAGTGCATAGAATGCTTGACCTTTAGACATCTTTCATTTTCGAAAGTAAGACATATACCACAACAAAAAAATATGAGGGCATCCTACCAAAGCATCCAAAAGAATAACAAAGTCATTCACATATAGCCTATATTCCTTTCCTTTTAGGCAATAATAATAAAACCTTGAACCAACTTGGGAAGAAAGGTGTAACTAAGTGCTGTTGATGAGCATTAGTAGTTTCGCTGTCATCATGGCTGATATGGGTACCTTGATCATGAACCCTTGTATGTATCCTTCTGGCCATAATCATTGCTTCCCAGTTGTCTCTGTTATTTCTCTAGCGAATCACTTTACAGGCCTTAAGTGAACCAGTTCTAATAACTGCCTTGCCCCTCAAAATTTTAGTGCAGCACCCACCAAGTAACGCTTGCTTTAATAACACTGTTTACTAATTTCATCACATATCTGATCACATTTGTGTTTGATGCATTTGCATATATGGCATTTCTGTAGTCGGTTAGCACTTTTTTGAAAGTTCAGGGTCATTTAAAAGTTTAGAGGCTAAATGTGACATTTTAATGGTGCAATTTGATTTGGGGTTTTGTAGTTGAAAGCTAGGCGATTTATAAGTATTTGCCCAAGCTTTATTTAGTGTATTTCTAACTTTAATGCAGAGGTGCATGGTCCAAATTATTCTACTTGCTGGGCCTGGAGTGCTCATTTCAACTTTTGTTCTTGGATCCGTGTTAAAGGTCTGCATAGTATCGTTTTTCTGATCATACAAATCAATTATTGAATGAGCATCTAACACGCTTACAAATTGAAGCTTGCTTTCCCATATAACTGGAGCTGGAAAACATCTTTATTGCTTGGGGGATTGCTGAGTGCTACTGATCCCGTGGCTGTTGTCGCTTTGCTAAAAGAACTTGGGGCAAGCAAGAAATTGAGCACCATAATTGAAGGAGAATCCTTGATGAATGATGGGTAATTAATTCCTCACGCTGCATTGTGGGTTTAGTGGAAAAACCTATTCAGGAAACATCCAATTTTTTATTTGTTGTTATCCAGTGGTTTGCCATTAAAACACATTGGAGTGATTTGTTCTGTATAACATACTTCACCCATTCCCTTTCCTACAACCTTTTTTCATTGGCAATTCATTTCTCTCTTTAGGACGGCAATCGTTGTATATCAACTGTTTTTGCGCATGGTTCTTGGATGGAGCTTTAACTGGGGATCAATATTCAAGTTTTTGCTGCAAGTCACCATTGGGGCGTATGTATTTCTGGATTTAGTTATGTATAGCTAGACATGCTCTTGCCTCATAATATCTATTCTTCTGTTCAGAGTGGCCATTGGTCTTGCTTTAGGACTGTCATCTGTTTTTTGGCTGGGATATATTTTCAATGATACCGTGATAGAGATCACACTCACACTTGCTGTGAGCTATGTAGCTTATTTCACCGTATGTTTCTCTTCCAATCATGGGAACACTGTGAACCATCTCTGTGTTTATCATTTGATGGGAAATATATGATAAATTCTATGTATATTATTCTTTGATCTATACATCACTGAATTACACTTTAGTGACTTTACTATTCACTTCCAAAAATGGAGTCTTGGTTGACCAATGTATACAATTTAATTTTTAGAAGATACAATTGCTTTAAATGTTCATCATGCTTTGTATTTTTCAAATTTTTTATATTCTAAATGTGTTCGACGGCGTTTTTCTGGCAAATTACATGAAAAGGACAAAATATAGCGCCGTTGATCAAATAAGGCTCTTCTTTTTCGGACAAAAAGTGTGAACCTTTTTTTGTCCTGGATGGAGGGAGTAAATTATGTAATTCATTTTGGGATATTCTGAACAAGTTCGCATTTCTAATAATTTCATCTGAATAGATACTATGGAGATTGTAGGTTTGAATAATAGAAATAGCTTATTCATTGAAGAGCCAGAGAAGGCATATAAATATACATGTACATGAGGTTACAGATCCTGAATAATAGGAACAGAATAACAACCAAACTATCTTATCCCTAAACGGCTAACACTACTCTAACAGTATTCCAGGATAGTACTTGTAATCATATACAACTATATTATAGTAAATTCACAGAGGATCCTTATTTGATGGTAAAATATACTGATGATAATTTATTATTTATTGTGTATGTGAAGCAAACTGTTTCACTTATAACCTATGTTGCACGGAAACATGAAGCGTGAAATGTCACCATTTAGTAAAAATAACAAGTGTTTGAATTATTGTCAAGAGTCCGAAATGGAAACATATTCTTCCGAGATAGTTTCCGTGCTTCATAGCTTATAATTATGAGTAGTTTTAAGATGGTGAGCCTGTTTGGATATTGGCGGTTGGCATCAAACCGCTGTTTTTTATAACTTAGAAACACTGCTATTAGCAGCGGATTGGCGTGGAACCGCCGAAAAACAAACACGCCCGGTGTCTTTTTCCCCAGGAATATGCAAGCTGCTCTCTTTTATTTGCAAAATCAGAACTAATACAGCTCTTTGTAACAGGCACAAGAAATGGCCAATTTTTCGGGTGTATTGACTGTCATGACGTTAGGAATGTAAGTTATGTTGATTACTCTTTTGAATTTTCTCTGGTTGACCAAATCACAAAGTAGAAAATTCAAAAATGTATTGGAGTGATAAAATAATCAATCTCTTAATGCTTTACCAAAACACGCTCTTTAAAAGTCGTTCTTCCATTAGTATTCTCTTACGGGAAAGGGTAAATTGAATAACTTAAGACTGGTAAATTAGGAAAATTATTTAATGTACATAGTTTTCAAAAAGGACAAAAAAGAGGATCAAGAAAAAGCGGTCAACCAAGACAAGTAAATTTGATTATTTGAGTAGAGGGAGTAGTATTCTGTATTAACCATGGAACTTCACGAAGCACTCTAATGACATAAAAACAGGTTCTACTCTGCTGTTGCTAAAACTGCTTTCAAGGGTGACGGGAAAAAAAGTATGCATCATTTTTGGTAAATTTCCTAACTCCCGTTATGATGTGAAGTAGTGACTATGAAGTATATCTACAATATTACTACTAAAGTAGCTGAAATATGAGCACTTGAAAATCACTACAAGGGGAATGATTTTCCCAATTCCCCATGAGTAATGTCTCTCACCAATAATGATACCAACCAATCCCAAGTTCTCATTGCCTAGTATACCACCATCTAACTTGAGATATAGCTCTTGGTGTGAGACTTCAAGAGCAAATATAGTGTTTCTAACGATCTTAAATTCATAAGCACTCAAGACGTAGCACAAAAATGATTACCATTATAAAAGATAGAAGAAGTCATGTGGTGAACACGTGTTTGCCTTTTAGGAGTGCAAAAAAAGTTCTAAATAAATATCAAAGATCTAAATGAATATCAAGTTACCTTGATTTTGGTAAAGGAGGTGGAGCCTATTGTACAAGTCTAAAATAGATACATATACATTATCAAGCATTAAGTAGGAGACAACCACATGGATGAGCCTTATATCATATACACCCTCCGTCCCATTTTGTAAGATACACTTTCCTTTTTGGGTTTCCCCAAAAATATGAACACTTTCTTTAATTGAACTCCACTACCTTTTTACTTTCCCACTTTATCCCTTTATCTATCATTTCACCTTTTACTTTTTGTGGACTCTTCTTACTTCTTCTTATTTTCCTAAAAACCGCTCCAAACCTACAAGTATCTTACATTATGGGACGGAGGCAGTACTAGGAGGTAACATTACCCCAATCCAGCCATCCCATCCTCTTGTATGTGTGCCTTTTATTATCAATAAAGTAGTAGGGGTGTGCTGACCCCACACCACCTCAAGACCTCAAGTAGCTGGTGATTTTACTAAGTCAAAAGAAGCGAGTTATATTAGTAACATCATAGCTTATAGAGTGAACTTTAATTAGCTACTTTCCTTTGTTTTAGGGAAATGGTCGCATATATTGCCAACACATTAATTTTTATCTTAAGGTATGTGAGTAAACTAGCATTCTTATTTATTGTGATTATTATTATCATAAGAAGGATTTTGATATATCTCTGGTATTACCGAATTTGGATTTTTTATTCTTCAATTACTCATGTATTCTTTTGTACAAATTATTTTATGCTGGAATTTCTGTTTAGTTTCACACTTTCACGAATAAACTACGCCTTGTGTTATATATTATGCATGAGTTAAGTATGTTGTTTGTTGTAAAATTTAGGGGTGTGAACAAGGTTGTTTACCCTAGACTTGTGGTATAGATATGTGCAATCCTTTGAGAAATTTACCAAGGCATGTCTAAAATATAGGAGGCTCTCCTAAATATGACAATCAAAACATTTTTTTTCCCATATGACTAAAAGAAGTATTGTGACTAAATTATGCTGGGTCTTCATTCCTCTTGTACATAGTGAGAGAATCAGCCAACCTTCAGAATTGATGTCCTAGCTGCTTCACCGTGTATTCCTTGCCTTGCTCTGCGCGTCATATTTGTTCTTATCTGGCTCACCTTAAATGAAGAGTAAAACAGCTCGTAGTACTCTTCCTCCATCTAATCCTACATAAACACCTCATTGTACTTACCTTTGAGACCAGTCCACCAAGATGTCACTGTCCAGCAATCTAGTAGCCGCTCTCACTTTGAGCTATGGAATCAGCTCCATGTCTTCAGCTGCCTCATTTACCCTTTTCACCACTTAGCTGCTCCGAGATGTCCCGGATGTCATCGAAGTTCTTGCACCTGGCCCCCGCTTTTTAAAAAAAAATGGAGATGCTTATCAGTGGACCTTCCGCCTCTTAATCAATTGCTTCTCTGGGCTGCGCCCTAGCACTGCTCTAAAAGCTCCACCTGAGCCTCCCACTCGAGCTCTTTTCAGCCGTTGTCTCTCTAGCCGTCTCTGTTTATAATGGCTGAACCAGTGCTCCTATGGAGCATCTTCCATATCATCGTCCTCGATGTCACCCTCGTCAAACAGAGTCAGTTGAGAGTCTCCAATGATCTGTTCCAGCTTTATAAGTTGAGTGCCTTGCAGATCTCCATGATCTCCAAGATACATGGACTCATGCTCAGACCTGAAACATATATCACTTTTAGTTGATGCCTCATGACCACAACCAAGACCTTCTTGGTCTAGTCACATAATGCCTCGCTTGGTTATCTCAGTGCCTCTCAAAGAACGTCCCATAGTGTTGTTCCTAGTAATTCTATATCTGTCGGCGCTAACCGTTTTCTGAAAGAACACTTTAGAATGAGTCAACCAACTCATATCAAAAGCCAATTCAAAGACATGTACTTCAGACTTATTGTTGTACCAAAAGTTTCTCGATACAATCATTCTTATGTTCATGGTTTTGAAAAATGTTTTTCAAAAAAATCAATTGAAAATTTCAAGTAGGATGTTTATGAACCTTAGGTCTTGATATAACTAAAGAGATATCCCATTCAGAAGCCTATTTAATTCGCAATTTAGATAGAAATGGAATTATAATTCAGGGATCTTGGGGGTCTTTGTAGACATAAGGCTACCGCATTGAAATAATCACCACCCAAGTGTGTCTTTGTTCTGATTGGCACATAAGCAAGCAAGCAATCAGTTTTCAAGAACTTTTGGAACGGAATATTTTCTATGTAAATATCGAATGCCTTTTAGAAGTTTTTTCCCCCACGACGTGCATTTCGTGTCATTGCCCGTCGGCTGGTGCGATTTTATTTACATATTTCGAATTTTGAAGAGTTCAAAGAACAAGAGGGTCATAAATTGCTTGGAATTTTTATTATTCTAGATACAAAAAATAATAATTTTATGAAGTCAATCATTCGAAGGAAATTCTAACACAAGTATTCAATTAGTTCGGGCATGGTTAGTTTATCATTGTAACCAAGATCAAAAATATCTTCTGGATTTAGATTAATTGAATCTCCCGCTGGAGGGCCCAGTGTCTCTGATGAAATTTTCACGCCCCAAGCCCGCAGGTGACATGAAGAATTGTCGTACAATCCACTAAGGTGTAACCACAGTCTACCGTTACCGAATGATATAAGATCATGTATATCATGTCATCATACATTCATACACACTTAGTAATCCCATACAACAATGATAATAAAAATATATAATCAATTAATCCAAAGCGGAAAATAATTAAATAATTTGAGTGTAGCTCCAGTGCAAAATTGTAGCACTTAACCCCAATCAAAAATAATATTGAAATATTACATGTAATTAATTCACGGGCATTAGTTAACAATATTTAGACTAGACAAAGGGAGCACAAACCAATTCGTTAACTCTTTACTACGTAGTATATGATTTACTCCAAAAGCAAAAATGCAGGTAGCAAGCTCAAGGTTCAACTTCAAAATAATAATGAGGTTCACCACATCATGCTCACTAGTATTGATGAAGAAAGAAAAACTATACGATATATAAAACACTTAATACACAAGACCTAAAAATAGGGCAATACATACTTACAGTACTTTATTCATTTACTTATTTAAAATAGCCAATCTGTGAGCCTATTTTATATTTATGAAAACCATTATTTTTCTTCACCCGTATGCCTAACTATTTATATTCAGCCTAGACCTAATTTAATTATTCAGCCTGTAGACCCTATAATTAATCAGCTCGTAGACTTAATTTAATTATTTATTTATTTTATTCAGCTCATAGGGCTGTGCGAAGAGTATAGATCCTGTCTTCACCGCTGGAAATAGTCCGGTCAATGTTCGGCCACCCGCCCCTAAATACCACACTCATGGTGGTGTTGGAAGGTAAGGTCTTTTGGGGACTTAGGATGTTTTTAATTGGACTGAAATTTTCTAGTCTGGTCTAATTTGGTCTTATATGGTCTGGTCTATGTATATTTTGTAATTGTCGAAGTCTGGTCTGGTCTGGGATTGAAATAAGTCCAAGTAAAAACATCTTTAAAACTAAACAAGCATTCACTCACTAGCCAACCCATCTGACTACACTGTCCATCTCTGCCGTATCAGCGTCAAACATCACCACCTTTAATGTGTAGTACGATCACCTTTGTCCCTGAAGAAGGGGCCATTTCAGTGAATGTTTGCGAGTAGGGCAGCAAAGTTGCAAACAACGGAATGAGAGAACTCATGAGAAGGTCAACATAGTCTCAAATGAGAGAATTCATGAGAAGGTCGGCAAAAGGAGACATGAGAAGGGCGACAAAGGGGAGCGTTGTATTTGTCATCAGTAGGTGGTGACAGAGGCGTGGGTTTGGTGGAATGGAGAGGGGAGAATTTTAGGGGGAAGGGTTTCGAGCGTGGAGATGATAGAGAAGGGGAAGATTGTGATGGTGGGAGAATAGAGAACTTTTGGGGGAGACAAGTTTGTAGAAGTTAAGACCGCATAGAGGGGGGGGGGGATCGAAGGTGATGCCGTGTTGGTGTGAGAAGGGGTAATTTTTGGGGAGTAGGGTTCATAGAGGGTAAAGAAGGTAGGGGGAAGAATGGAGATGATGGCCTGGGAAAACAAATTATGTAATTAGGGTTATAATTAGTTAGTTGAGGCATATTTAGTCTATTAAAGTTAATAATTAATTATTAATTATATAATATAATGATCTTTATTTAGAAAAGTGGCTATGTTTTAGTAATATGTAGGTTTTTTCTAATCCTTATTGCAGTTGATCATTAGAATAATATCATGACAACTCGAGATGTGTGTATTGAGGATACTGTAAGATGATTAACATATATCCATTAATATCTTAGACTTATGGCCTTATGCTAAGGTGGTAGAAACATTTCAATACCCGCACAATTCACAATATGAATTGATTCTCTCACCACGTAGACGAGTTCTATATGAAACTAAATATGTAGTCAAATCTTGGTCGTCTTACTCACGGTTTGTTTTCAAATTCTTTTCAACTTTGTGTTTACTCTACATTTGATTGTGGTGACTTGAGTCACACTTGGCCTTCTTTGATTTGTGTTTCAGCACCTTCCACTACTATTTTTTGCTCATTCATTTATTTATTTTTGAAGTGGGCTTGTCATAGCAGATGGATTTCTTCAAAGTGACAACTTTTCTAAAACCCATGGTATGTTTACTAATCCCCCCCCCCTGCACACTGTTCTCTTTTACATTTTCACAGATAATTTTGTTTGTTAGTTTTCCTCCCACAGTTACACCCCTTTCGAAGAATGCACCCATGGTATGAAATGGATGCAAGTCTCCCTTATGTGTATTGAGCTATATTTTGCTAGCTCTCTTTTATGTTTAATGAGCTAAGTTTTGTTAGCGTACCTCTACGTTTCCTAGTGGTGGTTTTCTTTTTCTCATTTTTCAGTTTTAGCACTAAGAGATTTTCATATCTTTGGGATATCAGGAACTGGCTTACTTCACACATTGCAATTTAGATCATGGAAGTGATTATTAGTTAGCACAGAGTTTGGATGCATGAAGTTGGTTTGTGACACCAGTTAACCTTACACAGTGCCTCCAAACTTGTTTTTCATAAAAAAACTAACCATGTAGAAGTTGATTATTTGTCCGTGCAAAATTTGCTTCTTGAGACATGGTCTTTGCATTTGCATTTGCATTTGTTTGAGGATTGTATGCATATGTAACAAGCTCCAAGCTGAAGAGATTGTTGAAAAATTGTGAATGCAACAAACAAGCTGTCAATCTTGGAATCAGCATGAACTCGGGGTAGTGTTATAAGTATATATGAATGTAAAAGAGGTTCTTCTTAAATGTAGTAGTGAATGTAACAGACAAGCTGTTATTCTTGAAAGTGCCTGTGAGAACAGCAGACTAGTTGTTAATGTAGCCTGTAGCACATCTTGAGCATATAATCAGCATACACTTAGTAGTTAGTACACCTAGTGTTTGATATGCCTTATGTATCTATATAAGCATGGTACAACAAGGTCTAATAATCAATAGTCAAGCTTAACAGACTATGGAAGATCTCTTTCCTCAAAAGAGTAAATATAGATTCTCTTTTTAGTAAATAACATGTAATGTTTTATTCATAATATATCCACTTTGTTTTTGGGTACACATGCATCATACTTGATCACCGATGGTTTCATTTCTAATGCTATTGTAGATTTCACTGCATTAGAAATTTTCAAAAGGATCATATTTCAGGATCTTCTAATTCAAAAGATAAAATTTTCAGAATATTCCTGGGGTTACCTCATCCTTCTCTACATTTTTGTTCAAGTCTCCCGGATAGTTGTTGTTGGAGTATTGTTTCCACTTCTGAGGTGCTTTGGCTATGGTTTAGATTGGAAAGAAGCTATTATTCTCGTATGGTCTGGCCTACGAGGGGCTGTAGCATTATCTCTTTCGCTATCTGTGAAGGCAAGTGAGACATTTTGTCTCTATTTCCCAACTATTCTTATCGCCTAATTATGTTTGAACTGGAATGAAGGGAGTATAGCATTAAGTACACAGTGCTATGCCATATGCACCCTTGTGATGGGAGTTTCCCTCACATCTATCTTCTATATTCCATTTACTCTTCTATATATTCACTTGCTCAGTTGGTGGTGTTGGATTTGGCAATATACACAATATAGTTAATAGTTTCTCTATCGACTTGGCGGTTTTGTACAATGTTACACATAATGTGTCCTTCACTCCTTTGTATCATTTCAGCGTTCAAGTGGTAACTCATCTCTTATCAATTCGGAGACTGGAACTCTGGTACGTAAAGCAAAAGTCGCATGGAATTATTAGCAAAATAAATCTTGTAATTTCTTATATTTTGGTTTGGATGTGCACAAATACACAATCAAACTATGATATATTTCCTCGAGGGACTTGAAAACCCAAGCTATGCCCTGAGTACCAAATATGTCAGGCAAGATGTTATTTGCACATTTTCACCGTTTGCCACATGCTCACACCTAAACATATTCAACTTGCAGTTCATTTTCTTTACCGGTGGAATTGTGTTCTTGACGCTGATTATCAATGGATCAACAACACAATTCATTTTACACTTCTTAAAAATGGATAAGCTATCATCAGCAAAGGTAGGTTTGCAATTATTTTATACTCAATGCTTTTAATCATCATAAAAAGGGTTCATTGAAATAAAGTAAATTAGGCAATTTATGATGGAATAAAGCAAAATGGCTCACTTAACTGTTTGCGCTTCTTTGTTATGAAGCAACGGTTAGTCCATGCAATTTTGGTCGCAATTTTCAATATGGGTCATCGGGAAACAGTCTCTCTGTGCTTTAGTACAAGGGTAAGACTGCGTACATCCGACCCCCCCTTACCCCACCGTAGGTGGGAGCCTTTGCGGCACTGGGGTAAATGATGATTGATTGAAAGAAAAATACCCACTTCTTTAGTATAGGGATAGGATTGTGTACATCCGACCCACCCCTTACCCCACCGTAGGTGGGGAGCCTTTGCGACACTGGGTTAATGATGATGATGATGAAAGAAAAATTCCCGCTTCTGGCACACTAATTAGGGGGGAATCATTGGATAACGAACACTTAATGAGTAATATATGTTTAAAGAGTCAACAGATGGTAATATGTCTTATTGGGTTCCATATTCTATCCTTTATGTCAAAGTAGCCATAATAAATATTTAATGCATATATTATCTAATATAACATGAGTATATAAAGTTCATACATTTATAGGCTTGAATAGTCAAAACTTATGGAAACAAAAATATCCATGGTTGTCTTATTTGTTGCTGTATGTGAGGATTCATGGCTGTTAAGTATTAAGTATGTGAGCATGTTTTTTTTTTTTTTTGTGAAGCGGCGCATATTAAATTACACGAAGTATGAGATGTTGAACAAAGCTGTGGAAGCATTTTCTGACCTTGGAGATGACGAGGAACTAGGACCTGTTGACTGGCCTACTGTCAAAAGATATCTTACATGCTTAAATGATTTAGAGGATGATGAAAGAATGCACCCTCATTCTTCATCAGGAAACAATGATAGCCTACATCATCTAAATACAAAAGATATCCGGATTCGCTTTTTGAATGGTAAGCACTATTATTTGTTATCACTTCTATTTCTATATGGGCAGCATCACATCACCTTTAATGAACTTCTCTATATATAAAAATTCTGGAAAAATGAAAATGATTCTTCTACGAAGGTATATACTTCCTCCTTTTTATAGTTGCAACGCTTGGACAGTTGCACTATCATATATTCTGCTTTGATCTTTTCCAATGTAAGTTTTCAAAATATAATCTTTTGATATTGTTTACTGATGAATAATTAAACATATTAATGGCAAAATTCATGCAATGGCAAACATGAAAGTCAAAATATAGCAACTAAAAAAATAAAGGTTAGTATATAGACGCACATACATGCATAATTTTAACAGGTATCATAAAATAATACCTACTACCAGTAAATGCCAAACCACCATTTAGCGACCACCATGGTGACTATTGTCACCACGGTGACATTAAATTTATCTTTTCCTGGGTCCCCCTTTCTCTGTAGCAATTTCTTTTGTTTGAATAAAAGCTGGTAATGAGCCTATCAGTTGCCCCCACCGCTTTGGTGAAACCATGCTTTGTTAAACATTGTTTGAAAATAGGAAATAGAAAATTTGAAGACAATTGGAAAGCTGAAAATTAGAAAACTAGAGAGCTAGAAATTAGAAGTCAATGAGCCTTGGGAGTCACATTTACCGCACCATTGCCTTTTGCTAATCTTTTTAGTTTAATTTATTAGAAATGGGCATGCTCTTGTTTTGTATAATTATGATAAATTGTAGTTCATATATATTATATTTTATAACATATTATATTCAAGTATTGCATACAACTACTTGATGCCTAATTTTGGCATAGGCTATCATCTAGTCGCCTAGGAGACAAGGCACTTAAGCAGTTTGCTAGAGCTGCACCTCACATAGCCGCCGTGACAACCTTGGCTAGTTGGAGAGTTTAATTTAATAGTATGTAAGGTCAAAGAGTATGCATCATTTTCGCTTATAAATGCCTCGTGTGCATTGGAATTTTTAGCATGTGTATGCAAACATATACAATTTATTTTTTGCTAGGTGTTCAAGCTGCTTACTGGGGAATGCTAAATGAGGGAAGGATAACACAGACCATTGCAAACATTCTAATGGAATCTGTTGATGAAGCACTTGACTTAGTATCTCATGTGGCTTTGTGTGATTGGGAAGGCCTAAAAACTTATGTGAATATTCCGAATCGTTATAAGATTCTTCAAACAAGTATTGTCCCGCAAAAACTTGTCACATACTTCACTGCCGAGAGATTAGAATTTGCGTGTTATATCTGTGCAGCCTTTCTCCGGGCCCATAGGATTGCAAGGCAGCAACTAAATGACTTTATTGGTGAGTACATATCTTTCTCAAGGCATACCTTTGCTTCAATGGAAATCTTCAGTACTTGTTTTTTGTTTGAAGTGAATAATGCATTCGACCTTATTATACATGCATAACACACAGACAAGTCACTCACACACAATCTGTATGCGTATTGTTTTAATCAGGTCAATATGATTTGTATGCTTCATCATGGAAAAACATGTTTATCATAACCCATAGGCTTGAAGAGTTTTGGGACAAACAATATCTTTTTGTAGATGAAACGTTCGTGTCAGAGAAGTTTAGCTCATGCGCACTCAAAATGAACTGAGATTCATATTACATGCACCAAGTCATTCTTAGTTTTTAAAGGCTTTTTGTCACGCACATAAAATATTGAATTTGGCTTGGTACTTGTTAGTTAGTCAGGTAATGGCCATTATTGGTGAGGCCATGAGGTTGCAGTTGGTTCATGCAGGGGAACTTTTAATATATCCGATGCCAATGTAGATTTTCATGCACCAAAAGCTAGAACTAGTGCAGTTTAAATATAATTGATTTTAAACATATAGTTGCCTTAGCTTTGCAGAATCTAATGACGCTCAGGTTTTGTATGGACTTAAACTTCTTTAGACACATGGAAATATTTTAATAAAAGACATGGAGTGGGATTTGAACTTATGATCTTTTGCTACGTTGAAATTGTATTTAAAAATGTATTCTACCTGAATCACAGGCTTAAGTTTTATATGGAACACACCTTCATTATTGGATATCAGTTCCCAATCAATGGTATCTAACATATTTGTTCTGTGCTTTCCTTGGAGAGATGGTTGGAGCATTTTAGAATGATAATTTGAATTGTTGTTTTATAGATGTACTGACAGTTTAATTGACCTTTCTGCTCAGGAGATAGTGAAATCACATCATCTGTGATAAACGAAAGCAAAGAAGAAGGGGAGAAAGCACAAAATTTTCTTGAAGAAGTACGGCTCACATTTCCTCAGGTTAGTGAAACTTGAAGCATATATAATTGATGAAGACTTAACTACTGGCGTAAGGCCTAATAATAATAATAACGTTCAGTATTTTGATAAGGTGTATAAGAGGAAAAGGGTGGGGCAGTCTAAAGGAGGGCGGGAACTATTGTAAAGGCGGGGCCATATATATTGTAAGGTGGGAGTGAGAGAAGGGTAAGCAGAAATTGGAATAGACTTGGGAGAGGGGACTGCTCTAACTGTCTCGCTGTATCTTTCTCTTTCTTCTATTTCTGCTACTGTAATTCTGCAACCTTCCTCGATATTCTACAGATTTATGCTGCTTTGGTTGAGTACCTATCAATACTCCTGGCAATGCAATTTCAAAATTTCAACTGAGCTTTGAACAATTGCTATCAAATTTTATTTTGAATTGTTGTTCAAACTGCGAAGTTCAAGTCGTTTTCTAAACACGTTTATCAGTATTGGTTTTGAACACTTTAATTGTACTACATAGTTTGGGATTTTGTGTATAAATTCAATGCTTCATCTACTGAGAAATGCACGATTGATTAATATATTCTTTGTCTTCTCCAAATGGTATGGGAGCTTACGTCTTAGGATTTTGTGGGCGAGATTGAAGATGGTTTTACTTGGACTGGTTTTTTATACTCTTCCTATCAAGATATTTTTATGATGTCATAACATAAGTATAAAGTATTTTTATCACTGGAAGGGGTAAAAATATTTTGCAGTAAACGAGGCATATGTTTCTACGCAGACTTTACCATTCCAAGACCCTGAAAATACAGCAAGGGGTAAATTAGTATTAGAACACATAAGTATATATATGTTCAATTATGTTGCGTGGAAACGTGAGGAACATGGGGAAACGTGAAACGGCAAACTCCATATTTTAATAGACAAACAAGTGTTTGGATAGTTTCTAAACATTTTGTGTAGAGAATCTAAAACGGAAACCTACTCTTTCGGGAGAGTTTCTGTCCTTCATAGGTTTAAAATAAATAACTTATACTACCTCCGGCATTGAAAGAAGTACCCGGTTAGTATCGTGTGGTCAACTTAAATAGTTTTTAATCTTTTACGTTATATATCCAATTTTTATCAAATTTGATTCTTTTGCGACTATTAAACTTTTAATGCACTTTCCTAACATGTAAATTTTATTTGCTAAAAATAATCTGAGTATTCACAGGGATCGGTTTACTTTATCGCCAGTCAAACATCGTAAACCCAAATGGGTACTTCTTTAAGGGATGGAGGGATTATAAAATAATCCATGGACATGTCAAGAATAAAGAATATCTTTACATTCAATCCACACGCATCTATGTCATTATTATTATCACTGTCCTGCAATGTGTTTGTCTAATTTACTTTTGGCACACATTTTAATGAAAGAAGAAAAAGTGAATGTTTTCCAATTTGTACCCTTGCTTCTTGGGGATGAAAGAGGCGACACATAACCTATTATGTGTCAACTACTTTCACCTATTTGAGATGAAAATCAATCATCTAAAAGAACATTTATTTCCTCCTCTTCCAACTGAACTCCTTCAATGAAGGCTTCACAACTAAACATGTCACCTTTCCAAGCACAAAATTTAAAACTCAGATTTCAGTCTGCAAAATACTCCCTTTGTCCCGAAAAATTCTTCCCACTTACCATTTTGGGATGTCCCAAAAAATTCTTCCTACCTTCCATTTTTGGAAAGTTTTGTGTGGCTAACATTCATTTACCTTTTTCTTACTCAACCACAACCATACATTTCCACTTTATCCACTTTCTTAATAAGCGTGCCAATTCAATGTTGGAATTATTTTTTGGGACAGAGGGAGTACAAAATTGGCACCTGAAAGGCTCTCCATATTCATAGAAAATAATTCTAGCAATATAATTAGCGACAATGGCGAACCAGATATGGAAGATGGAGGTACCAGCAAAACTAGATCATCACTTACCATTTCCACAATTTGTCTCTTTCGGCTTCTTCATTACTGAATTAATGAGTGATTTCAAATTGGTCTCCTTTAGCCGACCCCAATTTTTTTGGGAATAAGGCTTGGATGTTGTTGTAATCCTTTCCCTTTTCACTTCCTGGCATTTAATTTACCCAGCTTGGCACACATCAGGCATACAATCTGTTTTCCTCTCCAGTTTGGTGGGTTTAGGCTTGTATACCGGGGGGGGGGGGGGGGTCCTGAAGAGCTCATTTTTTTCACTTTTAGTCCATCTCTGAAGGACTGAAGAGCATTATGGCATCTACTGGGGTAATTTTGTAAAAAAAAGTGTTATTTATATTTGGAAGTGGCAACATTTTGAGATTTACAAAATGAAAACAAAACATGTAAAATAGGAAGGAGGGAGCAAAGTGCATAACTCAGTTCCTTGGGATAATGTAGGTTTTAGAAATAAAACTTCCTTGATTGAATATGCCAATCGGCCAGAATATTTATACAGATGTACAAGCAACTAATCAGCTAATTTAGATCCTAAAAAATAGGATCTTGATTACTACGAGCTTATCTCTAAATAACAGCACGTGTTCTAATCTATTCGGCTAAGTATGTACACCAAATTAAATCATGTAACATTTTCTACAATAATGTAACATTTTCTACAGATAATATTGACGTACTTTTTACTTAATATGGGCATATGGCCAAGTTAGACTAAACACCCACCAGAGGCCTTTTGACACTGAAATTCATTCAAGTTCTTTTAATTTTTTATTCAAAGATTTATCCATAAGTCCATGATTAAGAATAAACCATCACATTGTTGTTAGAGAAGAGATAACCACTGGGTGTAATGGTGTGTTGCTGTGTTGTTATATGTTTTGTTGATTCTGTTTATCAATTAGCTATTATATGTACGAAGTTTGTATGATTGTAAGAGGTCCTAGAATTGACTACTCTTGTAGCAAGCTTGACACATCAACTTATATGTTCCAGCTTGAGCAGAGTGTTGAGACTTGAGAATAGTTGTTCGTACATAGTTATACTGAATGTCTGTATTTTTACTATATAGCTACACCAACTGCACCATAATCGATTTACATAGTTTAGGTTTTTGTATAAATAATATGCCTCGTTTACTGAGAAATACACATTCATATGATATAGTCATCCTTCATCTTGGTCACACTATGAAATACAAACTTATGAGGTCAACACAATGGTCAATATTTTTTTCATTCTTTCTTAGGAACTGTTGCTATTGTTGCCTGTTAAGATTCTTTGTGCTTGCGCTCGGTGTTTACGTATTAGTTTTAACGGATTTCGCATGTTCTCAGGTTCTCCGTGTTGTCAAAACGAGACAAACAACGTATACTGTACTGAATCGATTGATGAAGTATGTGCATAATCTTGAAGAGATTGGTTTGTTAGAAGAAAAAGAGATGATTCATCTTCATGATGTTGTACAGGTAATTTATCACTTATTATTGTAGGCGATATCATAAGTTTCTGTAAACTTAAAACAAATCAAGTGCAGAGTATGTATAAAGAATTAAAGATATGTAAAATTGTAAACTAATGGGCTAGGGCCACCCACATCAGGAACATCAGTTTGTACTAATATTATCTATTGAGCCCCTTTGTAAAAAAATCTTCAAGCTGATGTCCATGTTGTAAATAAGATGTAGAAAGCAATCTCAAATGAAACTTTTCACTTATAAAATGATGACAAACCACCTCAATATGTTATGTTTTCCCATCAAACACATAGGTTTTTGGCAATATGAGTGGCTGATTATCACCCAAACAACTTGTTTGGCACATGAAACTTGATAACAGTCCGATTCAATGAGTTATTTATCCATAAGATTTCACATGTTATGTGGGCCATGGAGTGTGATACTCGGACACTATATTAGATGTGCAGCTACTGAGCTACTTCTTGCTTCTTTCTTGCCACAAAATCAAGTCTCCTACAAATACGCAGTACTCTGTAGCTCTCCAGCTCTCCTTTAGCAAGTGGCTTGATCAGCTAAAACTTGAAAATGTACAAGTGCCAATGTAGTAATGAAAATTTCGGTAAAAATACCGATTCAAGCACAAGGAAACGATGTTTATATGATTCAAAGTCAGAAAGAGTTTTGGAAAAAGACTTGGAGAAAGAAAAGGGATTTTAGTTTTCAAACTATAATAAAAGCAACCAAGAGTTCGGAATTACTTCTAATTGACTCATAGCAATGAATATATGTTTTTTCACCAATTGTTATGAGTTCTTATGAGTGGAATGTCTCTAAAGTATTCTAACTCCTGTTAATGAAGCGAGATTGTGATTAACTCTAGGTGTAAATCCCGTCACGGTTTACATTCATCTAAAAATAACCCCATTGAAGATTAAGACATTGTAAAAACCACCATATGTCTTAACCTTTAAGTGCACAATTTATTATCCAACGTTAATTTCTCAAATTAACCCAACGATATAATCATACGTTGTACATTGTAGTCATACACATTAAAATATAAAGGAAAGATCATAATAAGTTGGTTGAGAACATACATCAAACACTTAGAGTACGTAAAGTTTCATCCCTAACCTTGATTATGGAAAATTAGCTACAACAATTCATAATGAAATTACAAGTATTGAAATGCATAAATTGAATGAAATACATAAGAAGAATAGTACCACAACTCCGAAGCTATGGCGGACAATGGTTCCCCAATGAAAGACTTCTCCCAAGACCAAGGGGATGCTCTTGAGATGGATATGTAGAGGTAGAGTGTAGAAAATGTGATGATTTTTGATGAAGAGGTTCAAAACTCTTATATAGGAGGTCTTCAACGACCATTTTTGGACATGAAAGCAAGCTCCTTAATAGGTTTTAGTGTTTTCTCCCAAATGATTGTGAAGCCCGTTGCCTGTTTTAATCAATTATCTGTTCAAAGCCAAGCGGCTGTTGTGAAATCCTGGCGGGTTTCTCTTTCAAAATACCAAGTGTCTTCGTTCCAGGGGCCGAAAACCGGGCAGCTTCCACAGAAAATCGGCGGATTTTCGTAAATTAAATCACGAATAAACTACGGCGCTGGATGTCGGGCGGCTTTCGGCCTTTTTGGTTCCATATGCCTTCCTTCTGTCTTGCACGGCTTCTGGATGCCTGACAGGCAAAATCCGGGCGGCGTTTGGGAAAGCCGGGCAGCTTTCGCTACGTTTGTGCAGTCTTATTGACTTTGATTGTTCTTCGGGATGAGTTTGGTTGACCTTTTCTTGTCGGGATTCTTCGTGCGTGTTCTATCATCCTTGTATTTGGTCCAATCTTTCCTACAAGTACCTTCTTGCAAAATGAGGCATATGTGTGAGGCTTTTATTCTTAAAATCATTGTATAAAACCTGTTAGGAAAACGCTTATCATGGCCTTACCTATCAACATCTAAAAAGAAGCTTTAATGTGTGTGTATCTATGATTAGCATACAAAACTCTTCTTCTCTTGAAAAGCTTGAAATTTCTGTACATTTAAAACAATACAAGTAAATTGTAGATATAAAGTTATAAATAAATCAATATATATTATATATTAGTGTGCTTGGACCATACACATTATGGTTAACAATTATATTTGATTCTTTATACATTTCATCCTAATTATTGTCTTTGAATTTATGGAGACTGACCTGAAGAAACTCTTACGGAACCCCCCTGGAGTAAAGATGTCAAGTGTTCGTGATTTGATAGGTATAAATCCTTTCCTAGGAGCCCTTCCTTCCACAGTCAGTGAGACCCTAGTTGGCTGTACCAAGGAGATTATGAAGTTAAGTGGTTCTACACTGTATAGAGAAGGAGATAAGCCAACCGGTATTTGGCTTATTACAAATGGAGTGGTGAAGGTAATATTATGTTTTATATGATTGAACAGTTTACGGTTAACATCTGTAGCCTGCAGGTGCTTAGACATTATTAACATCCAGTATTTTTCCTTGACAGTGGACAAGCCGGATTTCAAGCCATAACCACCGGCTGCATCCCACATTTACACATGGAATTACATTGGGATTGTATGAAGTTCTTGTTGGAAAGCCATACATCTGTGATATTGTCACTGATTCAGTGGTTCGCTGTTGTTTTATTGAAACAAAGAAGTTACTTTATGCTCTTAAATCTAATCCTACAGTAGAAGATTTCTTTTGGCAGGTACAGTTTCAATTGTTGTGTTTAGTTTTTTACTTGTTTACCTAATTTAGTTACTAGCGTAAGCTAGCTTAAATTGCACGTTTAAAGATTTGCCTAATTTCTTTTGTGTTTAGGTTTTGTACAAGAGATAAAATAGGAAATGAATAAACATGATCAGAGATTGTGCTTGAACATATGATAACCAATACCTGCACTCGCTGCATAAACTGATTCTAAGTGCTCTGTTTTTCTTACCTTCCTAAAAGATTCACCTGGCATATTATATTTGTGAGTGTAGCAAGGAAAAGATTTACATTATGGAAGCATGGACTTTTTTTTTCTGAGAACCTAAATGGCAGGATAAACACTATAAAGAAAAGAGGGGTCTTATTACTCCTATAGTTACACGGGTGATGCCTGAATATAAGAGATGTATGGAATGGTTTGTATCTCTAGTATAAGTGCTAATCAGATTTAGAAATCAATTTGGGGCTAGGGCTTTTTATAAGGGTGCACTTGACATATTCCTTTCAAAGTTGGTGTTGTGCCACTTGTGTAAAATTTGTTATTTCATGTACTAGCTCAAAAAGGAATTTCCTGTTTGGATTTTAGTGGGTTACATAAGTCTTCTCTTACGCATGCGTTCAATTTGAGTTCATTAGTATCAAGTGTGACCTGGGCAGTCTCTTTACTCTTATACTTGGAATTTGTCTTATTTTCTTTGACCCATTGTGCCCATCTACTTTACCCTTTCCAACGTAGTGATTTGGTTTGATATATATCTTATGAAGCTCAATCACTATTGGCCTCAATACCTATGGCCTACTATATATTTTTTATAATAAGAATATTAAGATTTGTCAGTGAATATGATGGAATAAAGAAAAATAAGTCAGTAAACTGTCTGCGCTTCTTTGTTATGAAGCAGCAATCAGTCCATGCAAATTTCTACGCGATTTTCATCATGGGTCATGTGAAAGTATATTAGAATATACTTTAGAATATGCTTTAGAATATATTAGGAATATACCATATATAGTATTATTGTATAGCATCTTTTATAGGAATATTCTATCTTTGTAATCTATATTTATAGGGCCTTACCCTTCAATGAAATACACAGAAAATCTTTCTCTCCATCTTTAATATCATTTTAGTTTATATTTCAACATGGTATCAGAGACATCCATTTCAATTTAGTTTTTCTTTTTCAGATTTCAGTTTAGTTATTCATAACACTAGACTGATTTCAGTCAGAACCTCTTCCTAGAATTTTTCCCAGAACCTCTTCCCAGAACCCCTCTATTCTCAGAAACTCCATAAATTTATTAGAGCATTTCAGAAATCCAGAAACTTCAGAAGTTCAGGCCTAAGCTTTCAGTTCATTCTTTTACAGTTTTCGATCATTAGAGCATTCAGCTCTATTGTCATCACTGAAACTTTCAGACAGTTTCTTTGCCGCCGGAAACCAAACCCCTGAGATCCAGAGAAGAAAATTGACGCCCATACTCCACACGCGCCGCCGGAACTCAAGTCCGAATTTCACGCGCCGGCGCGTGATGCTCATACTCCGCCCAGATTCACGGTCGACAACTGCCGACCGGCTGACCTGCATATCGCCTATCTTCTGTTGTCGCTTCTCTTTGGGATGCTTAGTATTCGTCACAGCTCTTCAATAAGCTGACATCGGAAAGAAAAAGACGGTACCAGGCAAACTAACGAATTTCAGAAATCTGGGTGCGCACACTCTCTTCTGGTAAGGACTTATTTACCGAGCCTCTACTTATTGACCTTTTATGCGAACATGGAGGATATAAGACATTAAAAGAAAAGTGAGATTACATTCCTTTGTTTTCCTAGTTTTTTTTTTAATACAAAAAAAAAAAATACAAAAAAAAAAAAAAATACAAAAAAAAAAAGAGAAAAAAAAATGTTTCGTACAGGTCAATTAATATGCAATTACTGCAAGAAGTCCGGACACTTGCTCAAAGATTGTAGAAAGTTGGCATTCAAAAATCAAGGAAATTTGATTGCTCATGTTGCTTCCGCTACCACCTCATCTGATGGATCAGTTGCTATTTCTTCGGATGAATATGCCAAATTTATTTGCTACCAAGAATCTCTAAAGCATTCATCTGTCCCTATCTCGGTAGCCGCGAATTCAGGTATTTCAAACACATGTCTTGTTTCGTCATCCTCGAAATGGGTCATTGACTCAGGTGCCACAGATCATATGACCGGTAATCCTAGTCTATTCTCCTCATTCCATTCATATTTACCCACTTCTAGTGTCACTTTAGCTGATGGATCTACCTCACCCGTTCTTGGATCTGGTATTGTTGTTCCAACTTCTACATTACCATTATCGCCTGTTTTGAGTCTTCCTAATTTTGCATTTAATCTGCTTTCCATCAGTAAAATCACGCGTACTCTTAATTGTTCTGTAACATTTTTTCCTGGATATTGTGTGTTTCAGGATCTGTTAACGAAGCAGACTATTGGTAAAGGACATGAGTCAGCTGGTCTTTATATTTTGGATACATCCATCACAAACGGTATCTCTTGTCTTGGGGTTGGGACTTTGTTAGATGCTCATTACCGATTAGGACATCCATCTCTCCCATTAATGAAGCAAATAAATCCTCAATTTAATAAGATGACCTCTTTACAATGTGAGTCATGTCAATTTGCGAAACACCATCGTACTAGCTTAAGCCCGCGAGTTAATAAACGAGCAAATGCTCCATTTGACCTTGTTCACTCTGATGTTTGGGGTGCTTGCCCGGTTGTGTCTAAAGCTGGTTTCAAATATTTTGTTACCTTTGTTGATGACTATTCTCGTATGACATGGCTGTATTTCATGAAACGTCGATCTGAATTGTTCACTCATTTTTCTTCCTTTTGTGCTGAAATTAAAACTCAGTTTAACGTTCCTGTTCGAGTGTTAAGAGGAGACAATGCCCAAGAATATCTATCTGCTACATTTAAGTCATTTATGCTTCAACATGGCATTATTCATCAAACTTCGTGCGTTGACACACCTCCTCAAAATGGAGTTGCAGAACGAAAGAACCGACATTTGTTAGAAACTGCAAGGGCTCTTCTATTCCAAATGAATGTGCCTAAACAGTTTTGGGCAGATGCCGTGTCTACTGCATGTTTTTTGATAAATCGAATGCCATCTTCTGTTTTGAATGGTAAAGCTCCTTATCATTGTCTATTTCCAAACAAAGAGCTTTTTCCTATCCCACCTAAAATATTTGGTTGCACTTGTTTTGTTAGAGATGTTAATCCTCATCTTACAAAGTTAGATCCCAAATCATTAAAATGTATTTTCTTGGGTTATTCTCGAGTCCAAAAGGGGTATAGATGTTTTTGTCCGAGTACTGGTCGGTATCTTGTTTCTATTGATGCATCATTTCATGAAAATACACCTTTTTCATCATCTAAGGCAGATATTCATGAGAGTAATGATGATATACTCATTTACACGATGACTATTCCCGAGTCCACACTTTCGACAAATATTCCACAAGTTACTGTTCCTGACCCTAGGCCTCCCGTACATTTGGTATACACCCGTCGACACAAAGCACCTGATCACCCTCCACCGGCGATACCTGTGATTACTTATCCTGATACTAGTTCGACTCCGATCTCATGTCCTGAACCAGTACCTGCATCTTCAGATCTTGTCTCCACATCAGATCTTGACCTCCCAATAGCACTACGTAAAGGTACACGGTCTTGTACTCATCCTATTTCTTCATTTGTGTCATACAATCAGTTATCTCCTGCTTCATGTTCTTTTATTGCTTCCATTGATTCTATTTCTGTTCCCAAATCTGTCAAAGAAGCTTTGTCTCATCCTGAATGGCGTCATGCCATGGTAGAGGAAATGAATGCTTTAGATCTTAATGGTACTTGGGATTTGGTTGACTTGCCTACAGGGAAGAAATCTATTGGATGTAAGTCGGTCTTTGCTGTTAAGGTTAACCCAGACGGATCTGTTGCTCGGTTGAAAGCCCGATTAGTTGCGAAGGGTTATGCTCAAACCTATGGTGTTGATTATTCTGACACTTTTTCTCCTGTTGCTAAATTAACATCTGTCAGGTTACTTATTTCACTCGCTGCAACTCATGATTGGCACTTACACCAGTTGGACATTAAAAATGCATTTTTGCATGGTGACCTTAAAGAAGAAGTCTATATTGAGCAACCTCCGGGATTTGTTGCTCAGGGGGAGTATGGTAAGGTTTGTCGACTTCGCAAATCTCTTTATGGTCTGAAACAGAGTCCTCGTGCATGGTTTGGGAAATTCAGTCAATCTATTGAACAATTTGGAATGATAAAAGGCAAATCAGATCACTCTGTCTTTTACAAACAAACAGAATCAGGTGTCACATTGCTTGTGGTGTATGTTGATGATATTGTGATTACAGGGAGTGATAATGCAGGTATTTTGGCCCTTAAGAATTTTCTGCATAGTCAATTCCAGACGAAAGATCTTGGCTCTTTGAAATACTTTCTGGGAATTGAGGTAACACGAAGTAAGAAAGGCATATTTCTATCTCAACGTAAATATGTACTTGACTTACTAGCTGAGACAGGGAAATTAGGGGCAAAACCAAGTACAACACCCATGGTTCCCAACGTGCAACTCACTCAAGAAGGCACACCGTTTGAAGACCCAGAAAGATATAGAAGACTGGTTGGAAAGCTTAATTATCTCGCAGTCACTCGTCCAGATATTGCCTATTCTGTGAGTGTAGTGAGTCAATACATGTCATCTCCAATCATTGATCATTGGGCTGCAGTAGAACACATATTATGTTACTTGAAGGGTGCACCAGGACGAGGTATTGTTTATCAAAATCATGATCACATGAGAATAGAATGTTTTGCAGATGCTGATTGGGCCGGTTCTAAAGATGATCGAAGATCTACATCTGGTTATTGTGTCTTTGTTGGTGGTAATCTTGTATCTTGGAAGAGTAAGAAGCAGAATGTGGTTTCTCGTTCGAGTGCCGAATCAGAATATCGAGCTATGGCACAATCTGCATGTGAGATCATATGGATAAGCCATTTATTGACCGAGCTCGGACTGAAGACATCAATGCCAGCTAAATTGTGGTGTGATAACCAAGCTGCTATACACATAGCAAACAATCCTGTATTTCATGAAAGAACAAAGCATATTGAGGTCGATTGTCATTTTATTCGAGAGAAGATACAAAAAGGATTGATCTCTACAGGATATGTGAAGACTGGGGAACAACTTGGAGATTTGTTCACTAAAGCACTAAATGGAATTCGAGTTGGTTATTTATGTAACAAGTTGGGCATGATAAATATCTATGCTCCAACTTGAGGGGGAGTGTGAAAGTATATTAGAATATACTTTAGAATATGCTTTAGAATATATTAGGAATATACCATATATAGTATTATTGTATAGCATCTTTTATAGGAATATTCTATCTTTGTAATCTATATTTATAGGGCCTTACCCTTCAATGAAATACACAGAAAATCTTTCTCTCCATCTTTAATATCATTTTAGTTTATATTTCAACAGGTCATTTGAAAACAGTCTAGTCTCTCTGTGCTTTAGTACAGGGGTAAGGCTGCGTACACCCAACCCCCCCCCCCCCCCACCCCACCGTAGGTGGGAGCCTTTGCGGCACTGGGGTAATGTTGTTGTTGCTGTTGTTGTTGTATCAAGATTTGTCAGTGAATCACATTTGAAGTCCCCTGTTTTGCAGGAAAGTGCTACTGTTCTTGCCAATGTCTTGCTTCCTGAAGTTTTTGGGAAAGTTGGGATGCCTGACCTAAGAGCTTTTATTGCACGAAAATCCACACTGAGTACATACACAAGGGGGGAAAGTTTCGAATTGGCTCACCATTCTATTGGTTTTTTATTAGAAGGATTTGTGAAGAGTCAAGGTGAAGATGGCCAGTTAGTATCCTTTCCTGCAGCATTATATCCTTCTTGCGAAGGGAAAAGTTCAGGGAAATCTGAAAAGGAAGGTAATATATTGTTATTCATATTTTATAATCTCCATGACAAGATTTCTTGTTACCTTTTTAACTACTGAGCAGTTTTTGAATAATACATACTTCTATTGATATGTCTTTTAACTTACAAGTTAGAACTCCATATTATCTAAACATTCTTACAAGGCATGAATAGAGAAATAAAAATAAAAGAAATCACTCAATAATAGGTAGTACAATTTTTTGTAAATTGCATTACTCGCTTCTATAGTTTTTACATCAACGCTTTCCTCAAGCCGGGTCATATGCAAATATATGCTTCAAGCATGAAATGAACTGGACCATGGAACTTAAATTTGAACATTGAAAAACTTGAACTGATTTTCACTTGAATTTGAACTCTTTAGAAGTTAAGCTTTATCTTGACTTCTGGTTCTCACAAGAGCATCCACGACTTAAAATTTGACCTTGTCTTAACTTGACTGAACTATGATTCATGTCACACACCAGTCTGAGTTAACATCCCATACATGGTTGACTGATTGGCAACAACAGAAGTAGCACTAGCTATAGTAGAGTTGCAGTGTTGCACCTGTGAATCTTTAAAGCTCCTCATGATCAGTCTAACCATCACGTAATTAGTTTATTACCTTATTGTTAATAAACTAATATGAGGAAATTATTTTTTGTAAATTATATTTGTTGAGGAACGTTCGATTCTCTACATTATGTGCATTGATGAAAGCATCTTAAGTATGTAGAATAATGGGTTAGCATGCTTGTTATGATATGTATGGTTTGAAGTGATGTTTTGTCACAATCTCAAACATATTAGTCATCAATATTCTACTATGGATAGTAGGTGCCAGGGTAGACAGTTTTTCACATCAACCACATTGGTATCAAGTTGAGACAAGAGCTAGGGTTATCGTGTTTGATGATGTTGGAGCATTTGAAACACACTCAAGCTCCCATAGGATTTCATCTTCGTTTTTATTACATCCAGCAGAGCTCCAACTTAGATCACTTAGTAGAGATGGTGGGAGCCTAATGAGTTGGCCCGAACATTCATCTTTGCCCGAAGACCATTACAGTCGAGAAGGCACTTATCGCCAGAAAAATATTCTCTCCACACCGTCAATGCACCCATGTATGTTTGGTGGTATGGTAAGTTAATCTGTTTCCTTACTATACTACTTCATATGCAATACGAATGTCACCTTTGCTTGTTACTCCTGGACATTGCATCGTATAGATTTACTGCTACGGTATTGGGGTATTACACCCACCATTGCAGGAAGACTTGTTCCACCACATATTGGTTTATTCTATAGTTTCAAAAAAGTTATGACACGGTATAGGTTGTAACACACACAAAAATTGGGATTTATTATCCAAAAGAAAGTCAAAGATGAAATTAAATACTCCCTCCGTCCCATAAATCCTTCCCGGTTTGACTTGGATCGGAGTTTAAGAAAGTGGGAATAAAGTAGAAATGTATGGTTGTGGTTAAGTAAGAAAAATGTAAAAAATGTAAATAATGTTAGCCACACAAAACTTTCTAAAAAGAGAAATGAGAAGAATATTTTGGGACTTCCCAAAAAGGTAAGTGAGAAGAATTTGAAGGGACGGAGTAATAATGAATAGTCAGAAGGACTAAAATGAGTATTATCTCTAGAATGAATTACATAGCATTATCTAACCAACTTTATAAATACAATTTCCCACATTTAACATTTTCTATAACCAATAAGGACATCAGCAGCCATTTATGTAGCTATTGATTGCATAATCAGTATCAGTAGTCAGCTAGTAGCACCTTCCACTGATGTCATCTCTGACAATGACAGTTGCTATCCTTGGTCAATGGTGGTGGTCGCTACTGTCTGACAATTTGCCTCCAAAGGCACGTGCTATATGCTGCTGTCGCTGACAGCAAGTGATATTGTGTCGTGCGCTGTCACCCAAGGCATCATAGATATTAGTAGCAGCAGTAGTAATACTACTTCTGCACAGACATACTTTGTTGTTCTTTTAATTCCATATTTGATCACAAAAGACAAATTCACCGGTTCCGTTGTTTTCTCTTCCCAAGCATGATTGGGAAGAGAAAGACAACCTAGATTGTTTCAGCAACTGAACTTGTGCGTTAATGCGTTATTTTAATCCTCACCCCCAACCTCATTGCTAGTGCTAGTTATGGTGTTGACTTTGCTTCATCTTATTGATTTGCATGATTAGACAAGCAGCATCAAAGGGCCAAAAGACAAAAGCATTACTTCTCAAAGTCTGTCATATCCAAGGATTTCATCAAATGTTGCACGGCCTCTTGTCTCTACGAGATCAGAGGGATCTTGCACCATTTATAAGCCTGTTGATGTTCATGGAACCAACAAAGAAGACAGTGTTACTAAACTTGCAAACCATGAGGGTAGAGATCAATCAAGTGATGAATCTGGTGGTGAGGATGAACACATTGTGAGAATTGATTCACCAAGCAGACTATCCTTTACTCAGGCTTCTTAACTCTTTCTTAATAATGAAAGCCCCATGAAATTGGTAATGCTTGTGTCTTCTCTCTTGTGTAGGAAAATAAAATTACGTACAACACATGTACAGCTGTAAAATACATAAAATTATGTCATGCTACTAAAATATATGAAGTTTAGTCAGTAAAATAGCAAATGATGTGAGCGTATTATTATGTGCAATAAGTGGCCTAATCCTTGCAATTAAAATGTCCCTACTGTTTTTCTTTTGATATGCCCTAATCTCCCATCAGCATAAAATTTTCAATAGATATGCCCTAATATAGTGGCCTAATCCGTGCTACTTCAAGATAGATAGCCACCAACTTCGATCTTCTCCCATTGTCACCGAAGCAGCAGAAGTTTTCTGTCCTTGTCCACCAAGAAGATGCGGATCATAGGAGGATTGGATGCAGGTGGAGTGTGTAATTGGCCTATGGGTAGGGGATCCAAGAGGTTGGGGCGGAGCTGACTTTTTCTGTGCGTGTGGAGGGTTGAAATATTTTTTAGTTGATATACTACGTATTATGGTTTCTGACCCTTACTTTGCTTCAAAAGTTAAGACCTCTGAAAAGGTTTATCAAAAGTTGAGATAATTTTTTTCTTCCCAATCTTGAAGAACATTTGACGCACACATGTGAGTGTACAGAGTTTAAGCACGTGAACCTCATTTCTAAATCTCCATTTGCATCATGTGTGCGCTTAGGGGTGAACCGGTTCGGAACCGGGTCTGGCACTGTTTTGGTCCAGACTAGGTCCGTTTTGAGCGGTCCCGGGCCTGGGACCAGACCAGGCCGGACTGTCCGACAGTCCGAGAGTGGTTCACGGTATTAGTTCGGCAGTTCCCGATTTTGGGACTGAGCCAGGTGGTTTCTATCCCGCTTTCGGTCCCGGTCCGATTTTTTTTTAATCTTGAGAAGACCATAAAGCTAAAAAGATAATGGGAACCGGGTCCGGGACCAAAACCAGATCGATTGGGTATCCGGAACCAGCCCAGAACCGGGAAAAGCGGTTCGGACCTGGGTTTGGACCTGGCGGTCTTGGCCCGGGACCGGACCAACCTAGGTCAGTAGGTCCATCCCTATGGGTGCTCCTGAGTTTTGAGACTGTAACAGAATTTTATATAATACGTAGTACTACATCTAATCTTGAGCAGCCCACTCTCAAGGTCACATTTTCTCATTAAGAAGCTGTTCCGTTCGTCTTAATCTTATTACTTATTCCTTAATCTTATTTTATTCAGATCAGATCAGATCAGATCAGAAAAATTCAGATCAGATCAGATCAGATCAGAAAGATTCAGATCAGATCAGATCAGATCAGAAACATTCAGATCAGATCAGAAAGATTCAGATCAGATCAGCAACATTCAGATCAGATCAGAAAGATTCAGACCAGATCAGACCAGATCAGAAACATTCAGATCAGATCAGGTCAAAAAATTCAAACATGATTTATCACTTTTATTATTATATTAATTATGATTATTATATTATAGTTATTGTTAATAATATTAATATATTAATATAATAATATTATTAATAATAATATAATAATAATGTTAATAATATAAAATTATTATTATATTATAATAATATAATATAATATAATATAATATAATATAATATAATATAATATAATATAATATAATATAATATAATATAATATAATATAATATAATATAATATAATATAATATAATATAATATAATATAATATAATATAATATAATATAATATAATATAATATAATATAATATAATATAATATAATATAATATAATATAATATAATATAATATAATATAATATAATATAATATAATATAATATAATATAATATAATATAATATAATATAATATAATATAATATAATATAATATAATATAATATAATATAATATAATATAATATATTTATAATTATAATTATAATTATGATTTACAATGTAATTATAATTATAATCATCATTATTATTAATATGATTGTTGTTCTTGTTGTTATTGTTGTAATTATTATTACTTCGGAGTAATTATATATTTAAATTAGTAATTATAGACATAATTATGACTATAGAAATAAATATTATAATTATAATTACAATAATAATAATTATAAAATTAATCACAATTAAAAATATAATTACATTTATAATTGTATCTGTATTTATAATTAGTGTAATTGGTATAATTATTATAATTTTAAATTTAATTTTAATTATTATTTTTTAATAATTATGATTATAATTGTAATTTTATTTAAGTTATATTTTTAATTACAATTATAAATCTAATAATTATAATTGTAATTACAATTACAATTATAGAAATATTCAAATCAGATCAGAAAGATTCGGATCAGAAGAATTCAGATCAGATCAGAAACATTCAGATCAGATCAGAAACATTCAGATCAGATCAGATCAGCAACATTCAGATCAGTTCAGCAACATTCAGATCAGAAAGATTCAGATCAGATCAGAAAGATTCAGATCAGATCAGATCAGAAAGATTCAGATCAGATCAGATCAGATCAGATCAGAAAAATTCAGATCAGATCAGATCAGAACTTAAAAAATTCAGATCAGAAACATTCAGATCAGGTGAACGGAACAGCTTCTAAAGCTAGAATATCATTCCATTCTCACGACTTCTCATCAAATCTAGATATTTAAGTTGTCAAGAATAAAATCAATTGGAATCAAAAGCAAATACATAAGTGTATACGAAGTATTAGATTGTTAGTACAACCGTTTTTATAAAATGTATTCGGAGGTTTGAATTACTTATGCAAAAATAATTGCACTCAATCACATCCTCTCTCAAGCTGTTTATAATAATAATAATATAGTAATAATTGTAATAATAGTAATAATAACAATAATAATAATAATAATAATAATAATAATAGTAAACAAATTAGCTTAGAGGCTTGAAATGTTTGTTGAACCGAAAATGGTCAAGAAAACAATAGTCAGGTACCAAAAATGGATAAAGTGAAAGACGAGAACTAAATATGGAAATGACACAAAACTTGAAGGACCTTAAGTGAAATTAATTCATTTCAGACTTTCAGGATCTTTAAGCATATAACTACTCCATGGACAAAATCACAACGTAATAAATAGAGAGCTACTCTAGTCTCTACATGATTTTTATAATTTTATTAGAAAAAAATTCACTTTTGGTCCCATGACTATGATGTCACTTCCACATTTTTCCCTTGACTTTCAATTTAACCACATTTAGTCCGTGACATTTTTCCCTTCACCACCCTTCGTCCTCCCGATCACAACTTCGACACATTTTAACCGGAAAGCCATTTACGAAGAAATATTAGGGGCATTTTAGTAAATGTATGTTGTTAAAGGGGCTACCTTATAAATTAACTTGACTTAATGTGTAGTTAATATGTCAGTCTCCTTCTCCCTGACAACTGAACATTTCTGCCTCTCAACCACATATTAATGAGATCGACGTATTAACTACGCATTAAGTCAAGTTAATTTAGAAGGTAGCTGTTTTAACAACATACATTTACTAAAATGCCCCTAATATTTATCCGTAAATGCATTTCTGGTTAAAATGTGCCGGAGTTGTTGTTGGAAGGACGATGGATGGTGAAAGGGAAAAAGTCACAGACTAAATGTGGTTAAATTGAAAGTCAATGGAGAAATGTGGAAATGACATAATAGTCATGAGACCAAAAGTTTAATTTTTTCAGTCTAAAATTATACAAGATCTCTTTTAAAGAAATTGCTCTTGACATGATTAAAAGTAATGTAAATTTTTAAAAATGAGAACTAAATTTTTATTCCCTAAATATAACTTTAATGTTTTCATATTATTGAGATGTTTGAAAACTACTGTTGCTATGACATATGAAATCATATTAAAATTTTACAATGTCAAAATGTGCCAACCAGTTATGTTACTACTCGGGAAAATATAATACTTTTGTTTTTGGAGTTTCACATAATTTTAATCCAATTTTGGAAAATTTTCATTTTTTTGAAATAAAATGATAACTTTAATAACACACTAGTATCGTTACCCATGCCGTGCACGGGGTAAAATGATTTTGTTTAGTTTTAGTAACGAAAAATCACTTATGTAGTCAATTATAACATTTGTTTAAAATGCATATTATAATTTATTGAATATGTCTTTTTTGAACTAATTCTAAACATGTTTCCGGTCTATATATTCCAATGAAAAGAATATTTTTTATAACTCTCAGTTGCATCCAATGATCGAATTCAAATTAATCTATTTTTATCTAAACAAAAAGAAAATGTTCAATGCCTATTTTTATTCATTAAATTTCATTCCAAGCTTACTTTTTTTTTCAAAACTAACTAAACTACACATTTTGTTAATTTATTTATCTAAAAATGGGTATAGTCACTTTTTTTAAGATATTAGCCCTTCTGGTTTTAGAAATTTTCAAATTAATTAGTCTTTTGAATAACTAATATAAGTATCCCAAACTTTATATAAAGAGTTATTTTAGCATGGTAACAACTCCGGTACCTTCCTAAAAAATGAGGTACCGTACCTACCATTCATTTGATTGGACCACATCACTTTATCATTTTTAATTTAGATTTAAATAATTCAACTGCTACATTCTCATTGGTCCATTTGGACAAAGGTATGGTACCTTATGAGTACCATAGAATCTACATTTTAGCATTACAATCATATGTTTTTTCTTTCACAGATGTTATTTAATAGTGTTAAGTAAATAATTTAAATATTATACTACTTCCGTTCTTAAATAAGTGCAACATACCAAATTTTACACTATTTACATGTTCCACTTTGATTACATTTTATTTATTGATGTATTAATATATATTTTTGAAAAAATTATTACCAAATTGGTCTCGTTGTAAATTTTCAAAATCTGATTTTTATATTTTTTTTACTAATAGAGAGTTATATTTATTAATGGTCAAAGTAATGTCTCGACAAATATGAAATGTTGACTTTTTTGCACTTATTTAAGAATACTTTTGAGTTCTCATTAATCTAGATATTGTACTTCCCCGCCAAAAGAACTCATTCAAACGCTTGAGCGGTAAGCAATCAATAGCGTATGTCTATAAATTCTATATCCAGCTGACGAGTCTGTTAGTGCGGCTTCCAAATTCATGCCATCTGCAACCACAGTCATCTCCATTTCCGTTCATTTCTCGGAATGAAGCCACCTGAAGTGGATGCGTATATGGAGATCAGTAAGTTGTGCAATCTCAGGTCGTAGTTTAGTGATCATATCATATGATTTCACATCTAAACGAATTGAATTGAAGTTCCAATCGCTGAATTTGTGCAATTGAATTGGGCGTAGATACTTGATCGAATTGCCGCCTTCTGCTTCAATTTCAAATTGGAATATAATAATGTTTCACAGTTGTGATTATTTTGACTGAATTGAACTATCGACGAATATGTTTCTGTTTTGGATACTTGAATTTGTGCTTTCAGTTTCAAAACAATTTTGATGTATAGGAGATCAGACCTAATGCTGCTCTGTGCTTTATCAGTTTTGTTAGTTCGAACTGAAACCCGTTGCTTCGATCATATTGATCGACGATGGTAATTTTACTTTTTTTGTTTATCAGCTCCTTCGATGCTTAAAGATAAGTCTGCTTCTGATGGCGGAAAGGCCTGCTCAAACTACGCAGCGAACCATTGCTCCTCTTCCCTCTCGTCTCGGAATTGGAAATCTCCATCTGATGATACCTCATTCTGTGAAGCTGAAGCTATGGCGACAGAACGCCGACTCTTTCAACCCAGGTACGTCCTCGAGTATCTCAAGGAGTCTCTCGGGGAAGTCGTTGCGCTCCGCGAGGAAGTCGTTGCGCTTCGCAGTGAGAACGAGGCTCTTCATCTAGCCAATGCCGATTTGGTCCAGCGTCTGAATCTGCTCTCTCAGGCTATGATCCAAAATGGTCTTCTCTCAGATTTCAGTCACCTCGGCATCGGAGTGCAAGCTTCCCCTGTCCGTAACGCTCTCATCGCAGAATCAGATCCTCCCATCCCCAGGCCACCGCCGGCAGCCATAGAGCAACACCGGATCGAAAGAGTGTATCAAGAGCAAGTCCAGCTTCCAAAGAGCATTTCATTACGATCCAGTGGCTACCTGAAGCTGAAGGCGCAACATGGTTCATCCAGCGGCCGGAATAGCCACCGTGATACGAATCATACGACTAAGCCTCTAGCCCAATTGGTGAGTACGCCGGTGCACAATTATATCAAATTTGGTTAATTTTTATTAAATCTATCTAGAACTAACCCTGTTTTCGAGGCTTTGTTGATCTTCGATGAACTGCAGCAAAGAGGATACCTTCCCGGGGCAAAAAAGGTAGATGAGGCTTTGTTGATCTACGATGAACTGCAGCAAAGAGTAGACCTTCCCGGGGCAAAAAAGGAAGACGAGGCTTTGTTGATCTACGATGAACTGCAGCAAAGAGTAGACCTTCCCGGGGCAAAAAAGGAAGACGAGGCTTTGTTGATCTACGATGAACTGCAGCAAAGAGTAGACCTTCTCGGGGCAAAAAAGGAAGACGAGGCTTTGTTGATCTACGATGAACTGCAGCAAAGAGTAGACCTTCCCGGGGCAAAAAAGGAAGACGAGGCTTTGTTGATCTACGATGAACTGCAGCAAAGAGTATACCTTCCCGGGGCAAAAAAGGAAGACGAGGCTCTGGAGTTTGATGTGTACAATCAAGGAATAATCAAAACACAGCTTTGCAACAAGTGGCAAGAAACCGGGGAGTGTCCTTATGGCAAGAACTGCCAGTTTGCTCACGGTGTGAAAGAACTACGGCCACGTCGGCCAGTGATCCGACATCCACGATACAAGCAGAGATCTGCCGCATGGTGATGGCCGGCGACGACTGTCCTTTCGGTCACCGTTGCCATTTCCTGATTTCCTGCACTCTATGGCCGACCAGGATCGGCTCCCGTCAAACCATATCCGTTAACTAAAAAATGTTACTTGGCATGGGAAACTCTTACCCTGTATTTTGGTTCATAACCACAAATAATAATACTCCATAATAAATGATTTACACTGTCGGACCAATAATGGACATTCATAATACTTGTGTTGGATTGAACAAATAAGTAGTGAACCATAACGTTGATAATCGCTACGCCTTTTGGCACCTTTTAAGTTTTAACTAAGGATGACAATGGGTTGGGGAGTCGCCCCGCAGGGGAAAGATGGGGTGGGGCTTGGGACGGGGATGAGGAGGGATGAATGAGATATTTTTATTTGCTAAAACATGGGGTGCGGGATCAGAATTGCTACACTCGCCCTGCCCCACCCCGTTATAAATACTAGTATATACTCAAACCTACACATACACACACATATACATACATAAATAATGTATAAACACATTGAATTAAATTATACTTCCTCCGTCCCATAAAACTTGGCCAAAGTTGACTTGCACGTTGATTAATAAAATAAAAATTGTGGAGTTGAAATTTGTGCAGAAGAGAGAGAAATAACTTTAACCACATACGGAGTATTTTTTACTTTAAGTGGAAATGACAAAGTTTTTTGGGTCGACCAAAAAAAGAAATAATTTGACCAAGTTTTATGGGACGGAGGGAGTATGTTGTATATAGGAAAGACATACATGTACACACACACAGGGATGAGTTCAAATGAGAAGACATCATAACGTGAAAGATGAGAATTAATCTCAGTCGTCCAAAGTGTCGATCTGATGCACAATAACCCCTATCTGATGCACTTTCGAAAAGTGCATCAAATAAGGTCTATTCGAAAGTGCATCAGATCAACACTTTGGACGGATGAGATTAATTCTCATTTTACACGTTAAGACTTTTTTATTTGATCCAAATTCTCTCTCTCTCTCTCTCTCTCTCTCTCTATATATATATATATATATATATATATATATATATATATATATATATATATCCATACCTGTACGCGTTTTAGTCATGCATGGTTAATGAATTAATACATATGACTAGTGTAACACCCGGGGCATGCCCCGACAGTGTTAATTTAATATGTGTCAGGTGTCAAATACTAATAAATATTGTTAACTATTCATATGATATGATCACAAGTTTGGCCATAATCACCATCTTTTGGAGAATGAATTTGTGTTTATATTGTGGTTTATGTACTTCTTATTGTAATGGTTAAATTATTGTAATGCTTAAGCTTGTTTCCAACAATTGAAATTGGGAATATGTGGAGTTTATAATTTGACATTATTTTGGATATATCCAAAATATATATTCACGTGTATTATTGGTGGTGTACAATCGATTAGAGTCTCGTTCACGTGAACTAAAGTTCCATTATTTAAAAGACTTGGTCTTGAATTAGAGTCTCACTCAGATGTGCAAGATTAATTTCTTATGATTAGAGTTCTCTTACATATATTAGAGTCTCATTATTCAAAGAATTTGATGTTGGACAATTATTTTAAAATCTAAATTGATATGGTATTTATTCCAAGAATTATTCTCTATAGATATGGTGGATATTAATAAGTTGTTCTATTCGTTTGATATGAATATTTACGATCTGAAATTCGTAAGATATGGTCTGATCTAATCTGAATTTTTTATGATCTTGTGTGATCTTGTGTGATCTTGTATGATCCTGTGTTATTAATCTTTTTATTTGATTTGAATCTTTCTGATCTTATCTAAGTTTTTCAGATTTTGATATGATTTGAAACACTCCGATTTGATCTAAACATTTTTTATGCAATCTGGTAGCATATGAAAGATCATAATTTTTTTTATTTTTTTTGTAAAATCTAGAGTGAAGCATCGAATGAGTTGACTGGATTAAAATGAATGCAGTGACGCACCGAGTGAATAGTAGTGATGCACTGAGTGAATAACAATGATTCATCGAGTGAACTTAAATTAATTAAATGATTTAGTTGTAGTGATAGTGGAATTTTTATTAACCAATAAGAAACTCATGCATCATTGATTTATAATTTAGTTTTATTATATAAAAATAATTTTTTTTATTTATATATGTAATATTGGTGTCATAAAAAAGATTATAAAAACATATGAATTTTGATACATTACTTATAAAAATTGGAGTACAAAAAACAAAAGAAAAAATTCTCCTCCCTTTTCTTCAAATAAGTTGGTGTGATTAAAGTGAATAACAATAATGCACCAAGTAAATACTAGTAAAGCACAAGTGAACTTGAATAAATTAAATGTTTTGGTATTAGTGATAATAGAACTTTTATTAACTAATAAAAATTGACACATTACTGGTTTATAACTCAGTTTTATAATATAAAACAATAATATTTTTTTTTATATATGCAATATTAATGGCATATGAAAGATCATTAGGATTTATGAATTTTGATTCAATTTTTGTAAAGATTGAGGTACACATATAAAAGTTATACCACTTTAAAAAAATAAATTTTCCTTCACTTTCTTCAAATGAGGTGGAGTGATTAATATGAATAGCATTGATGCACCCGGTAAATAGCAGTGATACACCGAGTGACCTTGCATTAATGAAATGCTTTAGTAGACTGACACATGATTATTTTTTAACTCAATTTTATTGTATAAAATAATGTTTTTTATACATACAATATCGGTGTCCTATGAAAAATCATAAAAAATTATAAATTTTGATGTATTTTTTTAAATAAAAAGAAATAATTAAGTAATAATACATTAAAAAAGTCTTTTTTTCTCATTTCCTTTCTCAAAATGAGTAGTGATGCATGTAGTGAATAACAACGATGATCCGAGTCAACGTATATATATGAATTAAATATTTTAGTAGTAGTGATAATTTTTTTTATTGATTAATATATTTTTTAACTTAGTTTTGCTATATAAAATAATAGGTAATTTTTTATATTATATACTCCCCCTGTCCCATTAGAAGGTTCCCACTTTCCTTCTTTGAACGTCCCATATAAAGGTTCTCATTTCCATTTTATGAAACAATTAAAAATCTTAAGTGATAAATTAAATCATTAAATATTAAAAATAATATATTTATAACATCATAGTTATTAATACTGTGTTTTTTTATCATCCAATAACTAGTCTTTATTCATATCATAAGTTTCAGGATCATTACACCAATCAAAGGAAAAACAAATCTGACACCAACTAGACTCCAACAACTACGACAGTAATCCCTATGATCAGACTTAGAAACAGTCACCTCAGCAACACCAATCGCTAACCATGTAACGAGCTTGACATAGCCATCCATGCTCCCATAGATCTAAACATACTTAATGACATAAAACCAAGTTAAATTCCCAATCAAACTGACAAACCTAATAATAAAGACGACAACAAGAAACCAAATAACAAAATAATGAAAATTTATTGGAGAACTTTCACGGACTCTAGCCTCTCGCACAACCCATGGCGGTGTTTCAGGAGGAGGCCATATCCTTGATACCACTCTAATTGATCCTCCATTGTCAATCGTCATCTGGCCTGGTCGAAATCCGTGCAACCCTCCTCGTCCCACACTCGTAGCAAATCCACCTCTAGCGGTCATTTTCATCGCTGTCATGCCCTTGCTACCCTGCTCACGAAAAAATCGATCGTCAAACTCTGGCTTCGATGTCGTCAATCTGCCTCAACTCCAATCTCAGCGTCGGACACAGGTGAATGGGATTCACCGGCCGGAAGAACCAAACCTTAGAACTGCTAATGACAAACCAAACCCTAGACCTGCTAGGGAGAGACCGCGGCTAAGCCAAATAGGCAGCCGACGGCAACCGTTCCTCGTCGAAGAGACGAGAACGAACGAAGACGAACCCTAATGGCGGTCAAGCCCTAGAGAGAGAAGCCAGGCCCGGTCCTGACATTTTATGGGCCCGGGACAATACAAATAGACTGGGCCTTAGGGATAGCGCGCGAAAATCTATAATTTAAAATTATACAATTTTACCGTCAAAATACGAGTATAATACATAAAAACAAACTAACAAAGCATATGGTTAGAAAATATATAAAAAGTGTATCGATAAGTGACATTCGAGGATACAATGTACCTAACAACCGAATGAAACAAGTAGTGCAACTATTAGGCGCAATAAAAATTTCGAATCAAGGGAATTTGTGAAAGTTATATCTTGTATGAGTAACTTTTTCATATTTTAAATCACATTTTCACTAGACAAAAACAAATTCTTAGTTTCTAAATTATGGACACTAAAGTTCAATCTTTCACTAAATGAGAGAATCGGAAGAAATTTGTGAAATATATCAATGGATATACATAAGACATGTACACTAGAAGATTTAAATTAATGTAATAATCCTTAATGATTCAAAAGAAATGGTGAAATATGTTACCAATGAATACTAATGTGGATGTTTCAAAATTATGGACTTGTATTGTGTACATGGTAAATAACAAATTAGAAGTATCTAAAAATATAAGTTTGATTTTATTTTTTATTTTTTATAAAATATAATTTATATATATTTAAAATATTTATGTACATACATACACACATATTTGAAAATTTTATGGGCCCTACTGGAGTAAAGGGCCCTGGGCACATGCCCCTCCTGCCCATGCCCCAGGACCGGCCCTGAGAGAAGCTCCACATTCAGTTATCAATACTAAGTTACTAACTACATAATAATATATACCTATTAAAATTATTTCTCAAAATATATTCGAAGTACTTTATTTAATTATTATCTAAATAACCGTGCCGTTTTGCTATGGGAACCTTCCAACGAGACGGAGGTAGTATATAATATTGGTGTCAAATGAAAGATCATAAAAAATTATGAATTTTGATATTTTTTTTATAAAAATTGGATTATAAATATAAAAGTTATATCACTTTAAAGATTCTTTCTCCTTCTCTTGCTCCAAATATGCACGATTTGAGGGAGGAATAATAGTGATAACCGTGAATTAGGATTTTTTTTAGTAATAGTGAGGATAGAATTTGAGTATATAAAACTATAGATATCAAAATAATAAGTAATGATTAAAAATATTTATTATAAATGTTATATGAGTTTAAAAGTGAGA